TTTTGGCCGGTAGCAGCGAAAATCGCGCTATTTTTGCCCGCAAGCTGCAAAAATCGAAGAGTTTCTGGCCGCAAGTGGCGAAAATCGCGCTACTTTTGGCCGGTAGCGGCGAAAGTCGCACGGTTTTTGTTCGCTAGCGGCAAAAATCGCGCTATTTTTGGCCGGTGGCGGCGAAAATCGCGATTTTTGCCCGCAAGCTGCGAAAATCGCACAGTTTTTGGCCGCTAGCGGCGAAAATCGCGCTATTTTTGGCCGGTAGCGTCGAAAATCGCGATTTTTGCCCGCAAGCTGCGAAAACCGCATGGTTTTTGCCCGTTAGCTGCGAAAACCGCACGGCTTTTGGCCCGTAGCGGCGAAAATCGCGCTATTTTTGCCCGCCAGCTGCAAAAATCGCATAGTTTCTGGTCGCTAGCGGCGAAAATCGCGATTTTTGCCCGCAAGCTGCGAAAATCGCATAGTTTCTGGCCGCTAGAGGCGAAAATCGCGCGACTTTTGGCCACTAGCGGCGAAATTCGCACGGTTTTTGGCCGCTAGTGGCGAAAATCGCGCTATTTTTGGCCGGTTGCGGCGAAAATCGCGATTTTTGCCCGCCAGCTGCGAAAATCGCATGGTTTTTTGGCTCTAGCGGCGAAAATCGCGCGGTTTTTGGCCAGTAGCAGCGAAAATCGCGCTATTTTTGCCCGCAAGCTGCAAAAATCGCATAGTTTCTGGCCCCTAGAGGCGAAAATCGCGCGATTTTTGGCCACTAGCGGCGAAATTCGCACGATTTTTGGCCGCTAGCGGTGAAAATCGCACGGTTTTTGGCCGCTAGCGGCGAAAATCGCGCTATTTTTGGCCGGTAGCGGCGAAAATCGCGATTTTTGCCCGCCAGCTGCGAAAATCGCATGGTTTTTGGCCGCTAGCGGCGAAAATCGCGCTATTTTTGGCCGGTAGCGGCGAAAATCGCGCTATTTTTGCATGCCAGCTGCAAAAATCGCATAGTTTCTGGCCGCTAGCGGCGAAAATCGAGCTATTTTTGCCGGTAGCGGCGAAAATCACGATTTTTGCCCGCCAGCTGCGAAAATCGCATGGTTTTTGGGCGCTAGCGGCGAAATTCGCACGATTTTTGGCCGGTAGCGGCGAAAGTTGCGATTTTTGCCCGCAAGCTGCGAAAATCGCATGGGTTTTGGCCGCTAGCGGCGAAAATCGCGCGGTTTTTGGCCGATAGCGGCGAAAATCGCGATTTTTGCCCGCCAGCTGCACAAATAGTATAGTTTCTGGTCGCTAGCGGCGAAAATCGCGATTTTTGCCCGCCAGCTGCACAAATCGCATAGTTCCTGGTCGCTAGCGGCGAAAATCGCGATTTTTGCCCGCCAGCTGCGAAAATCACATGGTTTTTGGGCGCTAGCGGCGAAATTCGCACGATTTTTGGCCGGTAGCGGCGAAAATCGCGATTTTTGCCCGCAAGCTGCGAAAATCGCATAGTTTTTGGCCGCTAGCGGTGAAAATCGCGCGGTTTTTGGCCGGTAGCAGCGAAAATCGCGCTATTTTTGCCCGCAAGCTGCAAAAATCGCATAGTTTCTGGCCGCAAGAGGCGAAAATCGCGCAATTTTTGGCCACTAGCGGCGAAATTCGCACGGTTTTTCGCCGCTAGCGGCTAAAATCGCGCTATTTTTGGCCGGTAGCGGCGAAAATCGCGATTTTTGCCCGCCAGCTGCAAAAATCGCATAGTTTCTGGTCGCTAGCGGCGAAAATCGCGCTATTTTTGGCCGGTAGCGGCGAAAATCGCGATTTTTGCCTGCCAGCTGCGAAAATCGCATATTTTTGGGCGCTAGCGGCGAAATTCGCAAGATTTTTGGCCGGTTGCCGCGAAAATCGCGATTTTTGCCCGTAAGCTGCGAAAATCGCATAGTTTTTGACCGCTAGCGGCGAAAATCGTGCGGTTTTTGGCCGGTAGCAGCGAAAATCGCGATTTTTGCCCGCCAGCGGCGAAAATTGCACGGTTTTTGGCCGCTAGCGGCGAAAATCGCGCTATTTTTGGCCGGTAGCGGCGAAAATCGCGATTTTTGCCAGCCAGCTGCGAAAATCGCATGGTTTTTGGGCGCTAGCGGCGAAATTCGCACGATTTTTGGCCGGTAGCGGCGAAAATCGCGATTTTTGCCCGCAAGCTGCGAAAATCGCATAGTTTTTGGCCGCTAGCGGCGAAAATCGTGCGGTTTTTGGCCGGTAGCAGCGAAAATCGCGATTTTTGCCCGCCAGCGGCGAAAATTGGACGGTTTTTGGCCGGTAGCGGCGAAATTCGCGCTATTTTTGGCCGGTAGCGGCGAAAATCGCGATTTTTGCCTGCCAGCTGCGAAAATAGCATGCTTTTTGGGCGCTAGCGGCGAAATTCGCACGATTTTTGGCCGGTAGCGGCGAAAATCGCGATTTTTGCCCGCAAGCGCGCGAAAATCGCATAGTTTTTGGCCGCTAGCGGCGAAAATCGTGCGGTTTTTGGCCGGTAGCAGCGAAAATCGCGCTATTTTTGCCCGCAAGCTGCAAAAATCGCATTGTTTCTGGCCGCAAGAGGCGAAAATCGCGCGATTTTTGGCCACTAGCGGCGAAATTCGCACGGTTTTTGGCCGCTAGCGGCGAAAATCGCGCTATTTTTGGCCGGTAGCGGTGAAAATCTTGATTTTTGCCCGCCAGCTGCGAAAATCGCGCTATTTTTGGCCGGTAGCGGCGAAAATCGCGATTTTTGCCTGACAGCTGCAAAAATCGCGTAGTTTCTGGTCGCTTGCGGCGAAAATCGCGCTATTTTTGGCCGGTAACGGCGAAAATCGCGATTTTTGCCTGACAGCTGCAAAAATCGCGTAGTTTCTGGTCGCTTGCGGCGAAAATCGCGCTATTTTTGGCCGGTAGCGGCGAAAATCGCGATTTTTGCCCGAAAGCTGCAAAAATCGCATGGTTTTTGGCCGCTAGCGGCGAAAATTGCGCGGTTTTTGGCTGGTAGCGGCGAAAATCACGCTATTTTTGCCCGCCACCTGCAAAAATCGCATAGTTTCTGGTCGCTAGCGGCGAAAATCGCGCTATTTTTGGCCGGTAGCGAGTACATGTGTGTTTGTGCAGAGTACGTGAGGGGTAGAGAGTACATTTGGTGATACAGGGTACATATGGAGGCACAGGGTGCATGTGGTGGTGCAGAGTACATGTGCCGGTGCATAGTACATGTGAGGGAGTTCAGAGTACATGTGCTGGTAGTATTGAACCCAATGCCCTTCCTGTGGGTGTAATGGTCCCTATTCCCATCCTATGAACGGTATTGGTCCCCCATACCTATCCCGTTAACGGTATTGCTTCCCATACCCATCACCATGAATTATACCCTTCCTGTGAGCGGTAGTGTAGTGTACTCTACCATATACGTTTTCTATAATACATAATGTATAATCCATTTTATTGAATTTGTGTATTTAAATGTTACAAGATATATATTGGTTGATACAAAAAAATGCCTAAAGGTTATGGATCTCTTGAAGCTCCTCCGCTTCCGGACAGGAACCGAGGATGCAGCAGGCATTTCCCCTCTGGATCGCTACACTGAGGCGCTGAAACAAAAAATTGGAAGCCCTTGGGTCTCTGGTGACATCAATGAGCTTGGAGCCCAATTCCTTGAGAAATCCCAAGGCACTCTTGGCCCAGGGGCCATGCGTCTCAGACACTATGGGAACAAAGAGGTACTGACCTTCCAGTCGCCTGTCCTTGAGTGATTTTGCTGTTTCCCTGTGGTTGGCCGCCCCACCTGCTTGATCAGCACCGAAGTGTACATAGGTGTCAGCCAGGGTGGATACACATGTGTAGTCCCACACCAACAGTTTGCCCGCTTTCCAAGGGTATATAGTGATACCATCAGGACGAAATGGGGTCATTCGGGTGGTGGGCCCCTAGGATGCGAGGTTCTCTCTCCGCTGGGCACCGAGCTGAGACGAGGCTTCTCTTGATGATGTCATTGACCGCGTAGTGTCTTGCATGCCAACCCTTTGTGCTTCCGCAGTGCAACCCATGCAGTCCATATTGGTCTGCTTCCACCCTGTTGCAAATACACTTGTATTCAGTGTGAATTGGGGAACCAAGGCGGAGGGCCACTGCTACACGAAGGGATTCTGGATCTAGGTGCATGCCCATTGCCGACATGGGTACTGCCAGGAGGAAGTCTCCTGCATGGGGGTACACACACTACTCTGAGGCAGGCTTTCTCCTTGTCTGATGTTGCAGCGCTGAGCATGGCATCAGCTACTTTTTCCACTACTGAGTGGGCCTAGCCGGACTGTTTGTGTTTTTTTGTTGGCTCTATAATTGAAAGGATGAAATACAAATTTTATTGAATTTGTATAGAGCATATCCTATTGTATAATATTATTATTATTATTTTGCGACACAAAATATTTAGATATAACTTCATAGAATAATTATTATAATTTACTGAGAACTACCAAGATTTCTCAAAACTAAACTACGAGTCTTCATTAGGCTGTAGTTGATCTGTGATATTCTAATAGGATGGAAAATATTATGTAAATATCACACCAGAAGTGGGACTGGTAAAATACAATTATCATTAAAATTTAAGCAACAGACTATCCTGCTGTCTACGGGGATGGGACAAGTACTATGGAACGTACTATGGTACTATGGAACGTACTATGGTACGTGACTAAGGGTTGGTGACTGATGATAGCTAATCATTGTAAATCTACCACATGGAAAAAATGAACATAAGCAGCATAGGAACTATGAGCATTGCATCAAGTGACACAAGTACTATAGTATCCCGAGGACAGGTTGACTGCCCACCATCGCCAAAGGAACAGTCCCCCTGCCTCCGGAAAAGAGCATAGAGCTCCCCAACCCTGCAGCCAGAGGCAAGAGCCAACTAAGACCTGACCAAGATGCAGAGAAGGAGCAATGCGCAGGCTGGTGGTGAAAAACCACGAGACAGCTTGTGGAATGGAGTATTAGAGGATTGAAATTAATAACTTTTGTTACATTGAAATAAATAAATGTATTTAATTGAGGTATTTTTACAAACCTAAGATTATAAATACAGTACAGATCTTGAAACAAACAAGTAAATTAAATATAAACACACAGAAATCACATTAACGTGATATATATCAATGAGAAAATCCCCAAGGGCTGAGGGGTGAGCGCGAACCTACGACCAAGGCATTGCCAGCCGCATACTCTACCACTAGACCACTGCTGACTTGTAAAAGTCATACAACCAGATTCTTACTGAAATCACAGGAAGTCTGGAGGCCCCTACTGAAGCCAGTCCAAATGTTTACGTATGACCCACAAGCAATCAGGTGGAAGGGCAAAGTGGTCCCACACCTTACACCCCAACTTCAGAAACACTTTTTCTGAAGTTGGTCATGGGTTTGTGCCCACCTCACAGCCCTAGTGGATTTTCTCTTTAATATAACAAAAATTCTTAAACTGAAATGTATAATAATTGTAACAATTTTCATAAAAAACTATCATTAACTTTCTTTAAGTAATGGTAATGTCTTATCACAGACATAATAACAGGGTAAAACATCCACACTTATGTAGTTTATGTAAAGATTTGAATTACAGAGTCTTTCGCACTCTCCTGAACACAATATCACGGTCTCGAGCACAGTATATGGATTGGATGTGACTTACATCTCAACTAATAAGGTTGCTCTCAGAGATCCAGTCCGTTCATCTTTCTTTATCTCCTGATCAAGTCACCTCCAGTCCCTCCTGCCTATGTTCCCAAGGGTATGTCGTCTAGGGAATTAAGATCAGTTGTCATTTCTGTCATCCTGGGATTCGGAGAACTGGTGATGCTAATGATGAAGGCATTTATTTGCATGCTATCCCTTATAACTCACACCATTCCCAAGGAGAGCAGTTATTGAGACAACTGTACTTGGATTTATCCATTTATTCAAACCTAGTTTTAATCAAAATCATTTTTCTCAAAACTCAAAATCATTTTTCTTGAAAATCTGTCTTTGGAAGTAAAGCTCTTATTTCCAGTGAAAATATTTAAACAACAGTACAGTACTTATTTAAAAAAAACTAGTTCTAATATTAATTTTATAGATAATTTCACACTTCTTAAGTAAGTATTTATCAAAAGAAGGCACCAAGCCGGGGAGACTATGCAGCATCATCAAATGTGTGGGATATTTAAAAAGCACTAAATATCACTAAGGATGCCAATTCGAGAACAAAAACGCATAAAGCAAATGATATCAAAGGTATTTGATTATATAAAAAAAAAAAAAAAAAGTTTTCTATCGAGGAACCTGACCTTCCCTGACCACGAGGGACAGTCGGGAAGCAAGTAAGTAATTATCAAAAGAAGGCACCAAACCGGGAAGGCTATGTAGCACCACCAAATGTGCAGAGTAATCAGAGGGCGCTAAATATCCCCAAGGATGCCAATACAAGAACAGAAACACATACAGTGAACGATATAAAGGGTATTCGATTCACCGAGAATTCTACCGAGGGACAATTGACCGCGAGGGACGGTCGGGAAGCAAGACGCACACACATCCTGGAAGTCAGGACATTCAACAAGGATATGCACGACTCAAACAATGCACTTTGGACAATAAGGAACAGGGCGGCGCTCCATTAAGTGCCTGCGAGTTAAATATTTATGGCCAAGACGTAACCTCACCAAAGCCGTTTCCCATTGCCGGTTATGGTGGTAGGAGGAAGGCCATGGGGACATGCTACCGTTAAGAGCATGCAGTTTGTTACTGGACCAGTAACAGAAGACAAACAATCCTGCCAATGGCTGCGGATTGAGGAAAACTGGTTAGATCACACTTCTTAAAATCAATTAATATTTCCCATAGTTTGGAAAAGGATCACAATATTGCTTTTTAAAAAGTATGAAATTATCTATAAAAGGAATATTAGAACTAGAAGGGTAGTTAAAGGGTTTTTAATTAATACTGTAGTGTAAATTTTTTTATACTGGAAGTAAAAGCTACTTCCAAGGATAGTATTACAAGAAAAATGATTGAGAGAATTAAAATTAGATTTGAATAAATGGATAAATACAAGTACAGTACAGTAGTCAATAGCTGCTCTCCTTTTGGTATGAAGTGTGTTACAAGGGATAGCATCTGAATGGATATCTTCATTATCAACACTACTGGTCCTCAATCTCAGAATGACAGAATGGACAACTGCAGTCCCCCCCATGGAGCACACTCGCCCCGCACTTCCCGAGAGATTTGGCCTAGGATCATATCCTGGCCAGGGATGATTGACTACCTTCCAATCCTTAACTGTACGCCTCTGTTCACCCAGTGACTGGATACATGGTTGTTAAATGATTCGTAGGTCGTATTCTGGGTAAACTAGTGGATAAGGCTATCCCATGAGCTATGAAATAGGAAAGCTCTCAGCCTGCTAACAGGACTTAGCAGTTGTTTATTCCTGTACCAACTTGTGTGTGTGTGGGGACGGGGGGGGGGGAAACTTATCTAAATTTCCTAGAAGACATCTTCTTGGAAACATTGGCAGACAGGAATGAAGGTGACATGATCAGGTCAAGAGCAAAAGAACTGCATCCCAGATAGCAACCTTATTAGTTGTCGAGATTTAAGTCTCGTCCAAACCATATACAGTACTCAGACCTTGATAATGCACTCAGGAGAGTGCAAGAGACTAGGTGTAGTTTAAATCATAAAATACATGTGTGTTTTTTTTATCCTATTAGCTTCCTTTATCACTAGAGCCTCTCAAGGCCTCTCCATAGCAAAATATAGGAATTTGGAGCATCCTGCAGTCTTCCCAAATATTTGGTTGCCAGTGGGTGCAATATGAATAAATAATTAACTATAGGGCTACAAATGTTGAAATACTTGCACAACACATCATGAAATATTTTGCTACCTGTCTATTGTATGATTAATTATTAATAATCACATGAAAATGAAATGCTTGTCTGACATTCACAAACTAATTACTGTACATAGGAAATAAGGTAACATGAAAGAAACTGACTTTCATCACAGCAATTAGGTACATACATTATTTTACATGATGCCAAACCTTACAATTCCATCCTCTACTTATAAATGTATTTTCTAAAGTATTTGCAACAACATGCAGGTAATAGCAAGTTGACTATAGACAGCTGTAGCTCTTAAAGTAGCCAACACAATAATAAATATTGATTAGATGTAGTGTACTATCTTCAAGTTGTTATATATTAAAGCAGTTATCAACAGTGTAAATGTTAAGACTATATCACATGACGCATCTCTCCCTCGTCTCCGTCCCACACCAGTTTAGCTTTGACTGCTTTACGGGTCACACCATAAAATTTTTGAGGCTTAAGTTTACGCTTAGTGGCAGTAAATTTCCAGCCTATGTGATGATGACAGCTCGAGCAATTAGCAATTGTCCAAGCATACCTGAAAAATAAATTAAAATAGTTTAATAGATGGAATGACATACTGCAGTATGATAACCCAGAGGCAACAAAATGTAGTTATCAAGTCTACATTGTGCTGTAAAAAAACCAGCGTTGAATGTAATGAAACGCCATTTTCTGGGTGAGTCCCGGAGGCTCCCCGGAGCCTGCGGGGCTCCCCCCAGAAAGATAAGTTAATTGAAGGGGACCTTGATTATTTACTTTTTCTGACAATTGATGGAGCAAGATGGTACAATTCGAGAAAACAAATGTATTCTTCACATTGGGGTCAACAATTGCCCGAAACGCTATGCGTACTAGTGGCTTTAGGTATTGTATGTACTAGCTCTATTTTTAAATCCAACATTATGTTTGTAACCCATCTTCAATGTATGTACCTTTACCTGAATAAAAAATCTAATCAAATCTAATCTAATTTAATTGACACCTTTCTTACTATATAGTGTATACTGTACAATTATATTTTCCACTTCATTTGCTATTTTTACACATCCTAATGGTTACAAAGCACAGTAGTGTTGTAACACTATAACAAGGGGTTAATATAAGCTTGCTTTGAAACCACTTGGGCTGGGTGGTAGAGTGACCGTCTCGCTTCATGCAGGTCGGCATTCAATCCCCGACCGTCCAAGTGGTTGGGCACCATTCCTTTCCCCCGTACCATACCAAATCCTTATCATGACCCCTTCCAAGTGCTATAGTCATAGGGGCTCGGAGCTTTCTCCTGATAATAATTCCCTTCCCCCTTGCTTTGATACCATAATAAAATACAGTACAACAGATTATGCAAATATTATATGCCTTAAAAGAATACAGTATAAAGTAATGTTATACAGTACAGTACTGTAATATAGTAATACCTATGATAAAAGAAGCATCAAGTCAAAGTTATAGCATCACAAACTGAAAATGTTAATTTTGCCTACCCTGGAAACCACGAATGTTCAGTTGATGGTCGACCATAGTACGTAAGGTTAGAAGCTTTACCGAGAGTCAGCATCTCGTGTACATATCCACCAGGATTTACAAATGTTCCTTGAGGTCCTTCCACAGACATAGAAAAGATATCTGCAGTGTCTCCAATTACCTCTGTACACTGAGTACAAGTTAGCATTTTACACTGAAATATAACAAAAAAATTAATTCTGAATGTGATTTTAGCAATAATTTACACAGCAATTCTGTCAAGACTTAATTTACAATTCATATTTTAAATAATTATTTATTATTGTACAAGCAATCGCTGAACAATGCAACACCATTTCACATTTTTATTTGGTTTGGCAGCATCTACCAAATTGGACAATTATCTGTTGAGAAGATGACAATATAGATTTGGGGACATCCTATCCATTATACTACTTCCCACACTTGGTAGCACTGCTGGAAAGTAGCCCCCCCCTCCCCCCCTCCCCCACACACAAAGTTTCATTCAAGCTATATCATAAGGAATGTACAAGGATATGCACAACTGTAAGAAGGACAATGCAGTTTGGACAATAAGGAGCATCTACAAACCAAATAAACATCTTTGTGACCAATCCCAGTGTGTAAGAGTACTCTTCAATTGTCACAAAAACATCTCGATTCATTCTTTCCTTGAAAACAAACTGCTTTATCTTCGGCCTGACCCTCGCTCCTTCTCATCTCTGTCCACAAGCACACCACACATCATTACTCGCCACATCTGCCTACATTCTTCTCATACACAAAAACTTATTTACAAGCAGGATAAATGCTGTATATAAAAAAATAAAATCTACTAGGAATATTATTCAAATTCAAGAAGAAAACCAATCTGACCTTTGAAAGTACTGAAAGAATGTATCGAAGGCGCTGAGTGGGAGTGTTGAGACCCAAAAGGGCAAGGCGATGACTGTCATCCAGAGGCAGGTTGATGGCTGCCCAGTGCGACAAATCTTGAGGATCACAAGGAAGCTGCAAAAAAATAGAATAAATTATGAAACTATTTAGGGGCTTTTCATAATCAGTTAGCTATATTAATGGTGGGCTGTTTAATGTGACATCTCCATGGTACCCACAAAAATAAATTCAAAAAGTTATTTTCTTTCAAATATTGTTATTGATTAATTTCAGTGTTACTGACTTTTTTCCTGCTTTTTTTGCTGTTATATTATGCAATAATGTATAATTTTACAAATATCTATAATAAATTGTGCAGAACATTGATACACACAAAAACATTCATGTTACTACTATGCACATATTATATTCTTTGGACAATAAAACACCCCGTTTTGCTGTTTCTATGCATATTTTAAGTCAGGGTTCAAATAAGAAAGGTTATAGACTAATATACACAATTATACCAATAAAAGGTTTGAGTTTGTAATACATCTGGCATGTCAAATGACCTTTTCAAGGTCAAAGATTAAATTTAAGGTCAATGTTTTGATTTGAACCCATATTTACTAATCAAGTATATGTAACAGAACATATTAGTATGTGATTAGAAGATAAAACTGCAGTAGCAATAACACAAAAAGTAATAAGCATATTCATAAGGAACAATACTAAAATTCACATAAATTAGAAAATAAGATAATGGTACACAACATGTTACTTCTCTTACTTACTTTGAGCATGTTGGGTTGGATCATGGTACTTTTTTTTATTTCATTTATAACTCTCTGTGCCAAGAGTAGATCATCATACTGATTATATACAAATAATGGCCAGGGAGTCAGCCAAGCGTTTCGCCCCCTTACCCGCCATGAATTTGGTGTTCGAACCGAAGCTGTTGGAAAATGTTATCTGTAAGTCACAGTGGAAATTAACTAGTGAGATAATTTTTCTCATTTATGGTCCAAAAGTAAAATTTCAATCAACATAGTCTGCAGATGTTATAAGAAAGACATCTGCTTTGATAACCCATTTTTAATAGTGGAACATAGGATAAAAATTATTATAACATGACAAGACATATGCTTGTGATTTCCTTACGCTGATCCTATAAACAAGAGTAACCGAGTCTGTCAAAGCCAGACATTCCATCATTACGAGACGAGAACGAAGAGAGAGAATATGCTAAAAAATCAGTAAGGGTCATGAGGAGGATTCGAACCCACACACTTGGTACTCCCAAGCACATGCCCTAAACCACTACACCACGACATGGTCAAAGTCAATGCAACCTGGGATTCAACCGAATCCTATAGGGGTCCTGAGGCCTCTACAGAAGCCCAAAAAGGATTTCACACATGCTCACTGCAAATAATCATAAACAGTAAAATCAAATATATTCGCTCCTTTATAAACTTTTGTCACACATCCTTGTCCCCTACCACGTCCTATGCATTATTACACTCACTCCCCATATCCACCCACCTTCTTCCAGGCCTCCCTTCCCTTCTACCTTCTGATGCCCTAGCTGCACCAGTCTATCACCATAAATTCCTCATTCAACATGCCCAAAACTGTCTCGGTAAAATCACCTCATTCCTTACTCCATTCTCCTAATACCACACATACTTATTACTCGCCTCTGCTATTATACCTCTGATTTTTGTAGTATACTGTACCATACCACTGTTATGTAACCAACATAAGTGTTGCTACCACTCCTTGTGTAGCCCTCTAGCTGCATCCTTTCCTATCTTAATTTACTTAACAGGGACTTTAATTGCATCTGCCATTTTCCTTGTTCAACCTGAACTACTCTCAACATCATCAGCACAAATTCCTCGTTTATCAATCACATATTCCAGGAATCTTAAAATTAATTGCCCACTTCTAGCACTTCATCTGGACCCATTCCCCTATTTCCTTACACACTCACTATCTCTGTCCAACTTCTTGGTTATCCTCTCTGCATCTTTTCTTCAAATCCCTACCACTCAGTCAATGTGCTATCTATAACCCTAGTATGTAAGAATAGGATCAGCTTTACGTTTAACAATGCTGTCAAAGGTTCAGGTTCATTTCAGTATCAAAAATGTTGAAAGCTTTACATTTTTTATTCAGCTGTCATTGTTTATTTGCAATGTTATATAGTATGACTGATATTAATAAAATATTACTCATAAATTTTTAATATCTATAATTTTCCAATATACTGTGAATAGTCACATATCTCTGAGCTGATACTTCATAACCCCATGAAGGTTTTAATTGGGATAACAATAATGTATATATATATGCATTGTTTATCTTTCATACCCTAGCCAAGAATGTCATCCACTACTGGTACTTCTAGATGGAGCTTTGGTTTTCAATATCATATAACCAGTTTACAATCACAATGGGTTTCACAACATACATGCACATATGTGGGACCAAAGAGCCAAAACTCAACCCCCCCCCCACCACCACCCCAACAAGCACACCTAGCGAGTACGTACAATCCCCAGCACTGGTTCACACTTATTAATGCCCCAATCACCTACTACTCTTATTCATTTCTTACCTAAATCTCGTGTTTGTGCTACATGGATAGAAGCCTCCTGGGGGTGAGGTAGCGTTAATTTGTCTAAGGACTGCAGACGCATCATTTCAAATGGATTGCCCATGCGTATCTCAGGCAATATCTGCACTCTTGCCACAATCAGTCTGGATTCAAAAACAAACTTTAAGAAGCAAAAAATAGTAATAATTTGACAAATACATGTAGAATTAATATATTTAATTCAACTGAGAACCAAGAGGAAATGCACATCTGAAAGAATTTCCTAGCATATATATATATATATCCTATAGATAGTGCTTCTTAAGTACTAACCCTGTAGTCTCTCGACGAGTTGACATAACCTTGAATCTCTGGCGACCTTTGGCTTTGATTGATAATGTTCCTGTAAGTTCTTCCTCTTGGTATTCATAAATTTCTGCTGTTGTTCCATATCTGGCCATCTCTGAATTACCATCATGTGACATTCTGAGAGAAAGAAAGAGAGAGAGAGAGAGAAACCATTTGTAAATTACCCATACCTTAGAATAACTTTCACAACTACATCATATTACCTTTACTAAAACATCTTTTGCAAGTACTAAAAGATAGTCATCTGCTATACTGTACAGTTACAACACAGTAAGTACCAAAGTCTCATAATCTTTGAGAGTGGTTCTCTCAACCACTCTACCCTGAGCTCATCCCTATGGGACAACACTATTAGTGTGTATTACTAAATACAGTCAAATGTACTATATCTTAAGACACCTTAATGAAATGGCTCTTAATTATTTATTCTTGTAGAATTTTTGCTCTGTGCTCCCAATTTCATTTCTATTTACAGAAACATTTAAATGACCCACTTGACCTATTCAACCTCAAATTCTCTTGTACCGAGCTTAAACAAAATACTGTACTTTTAAGACATTAGAAAATAAATGTTAATTCTTTTTAATAAAGTACAGTACAGGTACTGTACATATAATAATAAATTTATTTTGTTCACCTTTCATTGTTCCTTTACCTAATCAAATAAGTTTTACTCTGACCAAGTAATTACCAGTAATTACCTATGCATGGATGTGTATAAATAAGGACTTCCTTGCCTGGACCACGAGGCCTTCAAAACATTATTTATATATATTCTTAGGACATGTTGTGTTCAGCTTCATCTGGGATTTATTTCTAGAAGCATTAGCAAAAAGACATATAATGTTATTCTTCAGCTTTATAATGCTCTTGATTATGCAGCTTACTTTTGGTCGCCATACTACAGAATGGACATAAATTCACTAGAATGCAAACAGAGGACGACGACAAAGTTAATCTCAGGAATTACAACCCTCCCGTATGACAAGAATAAAAAGCTTCATTTAACTTTTCTAGAAAGATAGACAATAAGTGAAAACATGATTGAAGTACAGTGTATAAATGGGTGATATGTATAAGAATATAAATGGATGAAATGTATAACAAAGATGATATAAATAAGATTTTACATATACAGTATAAACACAAAATAGAATGTGAAACGATGGGTAACAGTAAATACCGGCTTGGAAACAGGGTAGATGATTTTTTAAACAAATTACTGGACAACATATTAAACGTTGGATCACTGGATTATTTTAACCGTAAGTTAGACATACTGTATATGAACAAGTAGGATGCATATAAATAGGAGCTAACTCATACAGGCCAATAGACCTTCTGAAGCTACCTTTATTCTTATGTTATTAATACAGAAAATATACCAGGAAAACATTTTATTTTTTAATCTTAGTCCTGCTTATGTGGCCTACATTTAGACGAGCTGTTAAGGCACAAACCAAACAAAGTTCGGTACTGTAACTAGTTTTTGGGACTCAACATTTACCAATTATTCTGCAAGTCAGAACATGGCTCTTGAATTGGATGCTGTCATCACAGACCTGGTGAAGTAAGGCCTATTTTACACTTCTCTTTTGTTCTAAATTCTGCACAGGTACTTTATTTAGAAACACTTTTTTTCAGTTAGTTTAAATGTGAAAGTAAAAATGCAACTTGGCTTTCTTTTTTCGTTATACAATTTATCATTAAAATGCAAATGCAGTACTGTACATTCCATAATACAAATCAAGTACATTACTATGGTACATCATGAAAGTAAAGATGAAACAAAAATCGCCAACTTACTTTGAATGAACAATGCCAAAAGTACGATCCTTATCGATGACATTGCGAAGCATAGAAACGTGTAAAGGATGGAAGATGCTTAAAGGGAGTGTTTGCGTAGGCACTAATACCAGGTTCATAAGTGAACTGTGCATCAATAATGGTATTGTCACGTAGTCATTCTCTTCTTGTACAGTACGGCCTCGTAACTCCTCCGTTTCACCAAGATACTAAAATGAAAACATAGCATTTTTACATAGTGCACGTGAGTTACTTATAATCAATGAAATTCCATTAATAAGTGAATTTCACTGGTTACAGTGACTTCACTAACAATGAAGTCAGTGCTATTATACTAATACAAAAGAAAAAATATCTAGTTTTAGAATTTAATTACCATTTAGGGTCTTTACCACAAACAATTTTATGTATGTTTGGTGGTAAAATTTTGCCAAGTTTAGTTGATGCATGTTTGAACTTTTGCCATTCATACACAATGGCAAAAGTACAAGCAAGGCAATATCATTATTCCTGAATTGTAACCCCCATCAAACTCTCCCAGCCACTCACTCAACCCTGAGCTCAACCCTATGGGAGAGAACTTTATTAGACTGCCTCCTATCACATGGTCAGCAGAGGAGCTTCACAAGTCACACTTATCAATATTTCTAGTCATCAGATCAATCAGTCCATCCCACTACAAAAAGGGTGTTTCACTGGGGGAATGGGTAATAATCCTTAAAGATATAGTCAAGAATAACAGCCATGCCAAATATTACTTACACTAAACATGTTCTGATCGTAGCCAATCAAGAGATATAAATAGAATGGTGTAATAAGAAGGTACAATTATTACATGGTCCACTAATGAGTACAGTACAGGGAGCTGTAATGAACACATGCTTATGAGTACAAACTGCTGTAAGGAGTGGTAGGAGGAGACAAAGGTGGTTGTGCTGTAGTGGTGTTATGGTGATAGTAGTAATGTTGTAGTGTTTGGGGTAATTGTGTTATGGTGTGATCTTGTGGTGGTCAAACTGTGATGATAATGTGTTGTGGAGCAGTTGATGTGAATGTGTTGAAATGTTCCCTTTATAGATATTTACCACATTCTCTACCACATAAAGGAGTGAGAATAGCTTGAGCTACCTCATACTTTTGTGTGTATTAATACCTCAATAAATTTATTTAAATTCTATCTACCACATTTATTGCAGTTTTACTCAAGTATGCAAGGTTGAGGTTTTATGTCGATCAATGTCTAAAGACTTGAAACCAGCCAGATATGAGTAATATTACCCTTCTGTAGTTGCTCTTCCCCGACCTTTCCCCCATATCTCTCTCTCTAAAACCTGCTACAAAAAGCACAACGTGCACATCACATATGCACATATGTGCACATTGAGGCCTGGTCGACGACCGGGCCTAGGGATTGCTAAGCCCCGAAATCACCTTACGGTAACCTCAAGGTAAGGTACCCCGGTTCAACAATTCTCCCCAAAAATCAGTAAATATTCCTAAATTGTGGCATTTCTTACAAATTATATAGCATCAATCTTACTTCATGTCTAGACGGTAATGTAGTGTCATACTGTTCACCACAGCCTTCATCACCGCTTCCATTACTGTCTGCACCATCCGATTCCTCACGACTTTCATACTCAGCCCAGCTGTCAGCATCTGAAAACATGGGTTATCTGTACACTACATTATTCATTTGATATTTATGTATTTCATTCAGGACAAGGGGACTTAAAGAATCCAGGCCTCAAAATAGTTGAATTCTTAAAATCCAAGAATTATTTTTTTAACAAGAGAACTTGTCAAAATTTGGCAGACCCAAATTTTCACTAATTTCCAACATGTACCGTAGAGTAAAAAATCTGGAATATTATAGGATTCTTAGTGCTATACTACTGATCATATTTGTCAACAAGTTTGCTATTATTGAACGTTTGCTTATACGATTATACAATATTTTACGTATTTTTACAAACTTATACACAAGTTTGCTTACACGATTTACCCGAGGGCCACTAACCCTAGTGGCCTCAATGAGGACAGGAAGCTGGCGGCTTGTCCAAGGTCCCCCCACCCAAATTTCCCATGATGATCTTTTCTAGGTATATTTTAAAATTAAAGTGGTAGCTGTACAGGCGGTTCCCCAACTTATGAACATCCAACTTAATAAGAACACCCAATCGATCTTATAAATGTCGACCAAAGTCCCCATTTTTACATCTTGGGGATGGAGCATGGGAAATATTGAATATGCAAGTGAAAACTCAGTACAATAAAGTTCTGCTGGTTGTTATCCATAATGTGACAAGTTGAATTTTAAATTTCACTCAAACTTGGTATATAGAGCATGAGAAAAAAAGAGGGTACAAGTGGAATCTTTTCAAAATTGTGTCAAATGACATAAAAATTTGGTGTTATTTTAATTAGCTAAATAATTAAAAACAATAATTCCCATTGTCATGGACAAGAAGCCTGGACTTTTATTAAAGTCCCCCATGGGTCAAACTTTGTGCTGCCAGTCCTGCTATATTTGTCCTGCCAGAGAATCGAACCCAGGATCCCAGAGATACTGAACAAATCACGGTTAACACAATCATATTATTACAAATTATACTTTGATGCCAGAACCATGTTGGTTAGTAAAGGAATTCCCTTGGTAACTTGCTGCTAGAAAAATGGCATTTATAGAAGCAGCCATTACACAAGTCTTATCTCCAGGACTTTGCCAAGGGACTGACCTTCATCCACGAGCACTTCCTCCATCAGCACAAGCTCCTGTGGCTCCCCTTCCTCCTGGAATACATTCACCACCTGCCCCTCTTCCTCCACTACTCCCACCATGTCACCCACTCCATCTGCTTCCATCTCTTCCTCCGCATCTTCCTCCAGCTGCCTGTCCTCTCTGTCGGCCATAAATTATCTTCAGTTACTTCTTATGACACATATATTCACGTCACCTGCCAAGCCTGACCAAAACAAGTCAATGATATTACGTGGTCGGTTGTGTGTCGGGTTCGACCTCCGGAGGCTTCCAGTCTCCTAACTTTCACTCACGCTAAATTGACTACTTTTTACATATCTCAAAGAAACTGATTTATTATGAACATTTTTAATGAGCTTTAAGGAAAGTAGACTAAATTTAATATACAATTTTGACATATAGTAGAAATGACCATATGCAATAGTAAACAATAGGAAATTTAAATAAGATTGAATCAAAATATTTTGGGTTCAAAGTGCTGAAACGCTCGAGCAGAAATGAGCTATTACAGACTTTCTCTATAGTAATATTTGCAATATATGATATACTAACAAGGGACTAAAATAACTCTGAGATAATCAATAAACCTGTCCACAGGGACTATTAATTAAGCTCATAACTACTGTATTAATCAGGTGATGTCCATGACGTCGTCAGCTTCGCTGCTTCACCAACAAGTCCGCAAACCAATGTCAATGTATTTTTTTATAATAAACTTAGGCACATGATTATTGTTCAGTGGATTTATTGGAATCCCTCGATCTTCGTCGCCCCTCAATCAACAGCAACTTATTGGAAAGTCTATCTTAACTTATTAACCACATAAAGGGAAAAGAAGGCAAATTAAATGTCAAACCAAGAGATTAAAGAGGGTGTGAACATCATTTGAAAAAGATCGCGTCTTTTTATGCCTATATAATGACTAAGATGTGGACAAGACTCGATATAGGACTCTTAACTACTCTGACACTGAAAAAATTCTTTCTAATATCTCTGTGGCTCATTTGGGTACTAAGTTCCCCTTGTTCGTGTTCCACCCGTGTTAAAGAGCTGTCTTTGTAACTATCAAAATGCATATATCTTTGCTTTCACTTCAGTTATATTTATGACAAGGGATTTAAAATTTGCCTATATTTCTGCTTCTCTGATGACATTAAAAACTTTCGTTTATTACAGTATCTACATAAAATTAACATTTATCTTCATTAGGTTGTAGTTCTCATCAATAGGGAGAGCGTCGGTAAAAAAAAAAAATTGTTTAAATATAAATATCTTTCCTCTCTCAATAATATGCCCGAAACGCTATGCGTACTAGTGGCTTTAGGTGTTGTATGTACTAGCTCTATCTATAAATCCAATATTATGTTTGTAAATCGACTATTTATGTACTTTCCTGAATAAAATGAACTTTACTAATATCTAATCTCTGTGACTAAAACGTAAGAACGACTTTATCTATGCCTTTTTGATAACATATACAATTATAAGCTTTATTAGTGAATCTCTATTAATTAAACAATATATCAGAGAGTGTGTAAGGTTTGGTGTTCCATGTGCGAAGAGACATGGGAGATTTTACATCAGTACAGTAAATGTTTTAAGTAGCGAACGCATACTAACGAATAACGATTAGTATAGACCAACACTATTGTTCTATGAAGTCGATTTAACTTCCAGACATGTATTTTTCAATAAGTCTTAAATATTTTCTGGCTAGTTATGTTAGATATTATTAGAAATACGTATTCTACTTGTTAATATAATAAACTAAATTTGCGATCATTTAAGGAGAGAAGTGCGACGACTGGATCACTGTGTACAGAAGGTTGATATGCCAACAAACACTTTCCAGACAACAATATATCTTGGATAAGTCGCTCCACAACATTGACACCTGGACCGTTGACTTCCTATGAGGCCACATATTTACTTATTTCATAATGGAAGTATATTATTTTATAGTAAATATATGTTTTCTCGTGTTCTGCATTAAGCACCAACATTATAGTGAATAAATATACCATATTTCTTCATTATTTAAGTAATGCTAGGAGGCGTTGAGTAGCTTTGGATCATTAGGTGAACAGAATCTCCAATAGATGGGGCGAGAGTCGCGCTATCTCTTGCCCGAGCGAGAGTCGAAACTTATTTTAGAATTGATATATCTTTGTCCTCCAACAAGATATATTTCCTTTGGTGCACTCACAATAACGAGCATATCTCTGTCTTTCTGAAGGCATATAATATTTTAGGCTTTATAAGCGTATCTTTGTTAATTACACACTATATTGGCAAGTGCGTAGGCTTCTGCATTCCATGACCGACAAGCTACTGAATGCCACTATAAAAACGTATGTATCTTCACTTGAGGTTTATATATGTCTATGTTAAAGTATTTAAAATGAAGCTTATATTTCTATCTTTCTTGAGACATATAAAACATATGTGTTTATTAATGAATTTACGTGAAATAAGCATTGTTCTGAGAGAGAGTTGCTCTGTCGATAAGTCTGTGCGGGGTCGGAGCTCGGCGATTATTAAAACACATATATCTTCATTAGAACTTTATATATATCTATGGTAAAGTATTTAAAATGAAGCTTATATTTCTATCTTTCTCAACACATATAAAAACATTTGCGTTTATTAACGCATTTACGTGAAATAAGCATTGTTCCGAGTTACTCCGTTGCTCGATCTGTGCGGGATCGGAGCTCGCCGATTAGAAAAATACACGTATCTTCGCTTTAAATACAAATATGCCCATGGTAAGGCATTTAAAATGAAGATTATGTTTCTATCTTTCTTGAGACGTATAAAAATCTTACGTTTATTAACGATTCTGCGTGAAATAAGCATTGTTCTTAGATGAATATTGCGGATTTCCGGCTCTACGACCGATGAAAAATGCAACTTTTATACAACTACAAATATCTTTAGTTTTACTTTAAATTTTGTCCTGAAAGAGTTTTCATATATAGATCCAGTTTCTGCCGTTCTTCTGACATAAAAAGACCTTTGGTTTAATAAGTTATTAAGATGTTTTCAACAATATTACTAGGGCGTTCACCGATTCTAACATGGGCGACCCTTTTGGAAACGCAACACATGGGTTGACCTGATTGATATATGGGTCAGATTCCATTAAGGTTCGGAACAGTATCACTGACCCCTTCTCCATCATGCAGAACCCATCTCATAAGACAAGGATGACAAAACGGCTTTATATCACCAGCGGTTTATACAGTACCAGACATTTTCATTCTACTACAAAACCTGCTAATCAGTCTTCATATCTATTGCTTTCATTTTCACGCTCATACCACTCCAGTGGTACATAATGGTCTGCATTACCACTCCTACATTACACCCTTAAGTAATTATCAAAAGATGGCACCAAACCGGGAAGGCTATGTAGCACCATCAAATGATTACACCCTTAAGCTGCATCTCTTGACAACCAGGGTTTGCACATTGGCAAATCTTAACTTCAGTAGTACAAATGCCTTTTATCAGTCACATCCCATGCATTTAAACTGATCTCTTATAGCGCTGCATTAAAAATAACTATTTCCTTTTCTCAGCAGTTTCTTGTCATCTCTCACAAATGACAATTGTAGTATACAAATTTCTACCACATTGCAAAAAGAACTTTCACATTATACAAAGCACTCTTGACAACAAAAAATACTGAACATAAAGTATAGGAAATTAAAATGTAAACCATTCTAATTCATCCAAGTTCAAATAGAGGATAAGTGAAACAGTAACTTGCATTTGGTGTATTGGAAGTTTAATTTTTATAATGTGGATGTTTCGAGTTCTTATGATATGGCATTTGTAAGAAACTTTCATTTTTAACATTAAGGCAAATAGATGGTCTATTATATTTTACAAACATCAGTGGCTATACCAGATAACTATGCCTTAACATACAATTGCAAATACAATTAAGGGGTAAAGAGCTAAATTAGCATCCCACATTACATTCACAAACACACGTCAAGATCACCACCTCGCATATGGATACACTCTTTTTACAAAATGTATGAAACCAACTCAACTTTAATATTACATACAGGTACTCCTTTTAACAACTACATTATTAATTTTCCTCAAATTCAGCTTCTATATACCAGTATTCGTCAACCTATTACTACAAATAAAAAAAAAATACATTATCTGGTTAAAAATAACCTTGAGTTGCCTGACCTGTTGAACAAACCAACACATTCTTATCTGATTATTTATTGAAAGAACAGACTCCAAATATGAAAATTTCTCCCAGTATAAACAAGACCATCTACTTACTCTACCTATCTTTTGAAAGGAATCTGTAAATTCTATATACAGTACCACCAACACACACACTTTAATTAAGGATTCTGAAAAGAAATCCTCACAGATCAGAATTTATTTTCTTCCACTGCCAGTAGAATTTGGTACTGTATTTGAATTTTCTATAAAAGCTGTAAAGGTATGTTTGGTGCAAGCATAGCTTATTTCTGTTATGTATATTGAAAGAATTTGGTATTTTTCTCCTTGTATTGTAATGGTATAAAGCCACTAGTCCATCAGCACTGCAACCTTTCACATGGGGGGCAGATAGTCAAGTCTTTCAAGCGCACAGGCCCCATAGGATAGTCATCTTTGTTTTGTTTCAACTTGGATGAATATCACATATCAACTTTGTCCCTTGGGAGTTAACTATGGAATATGCACACTTTAACTTCAGAAGCTACACCACTTAAATGTGGGACGTAGCTTTCTTGCCCCCATGATCAGATGTGGTCCACGAAGGCCTCTGAAAATGAAACCATAAAAAAACTATTAATGGTCAATCACCCCTCATTCTATTCCTATTTTTTTAGTACAGGCATACTTTGAAAACAGCATGTAAAGAAACGTTAACTTTATATGAATGCATACCAGAAACCTCCAAGAGTTACTCTCAGTAATGTTTTCTGGAAACATTATTAATAGTCCTTTCTCTTTCCATTCACAAATACATCACATAAATGAAGTAGAGAACACGTTGGAGGTGCCATGGTCTGAATTCTAGAATGTAATCCAAATTACTAGATATACACAAATTTTGAAGAGCCATAAAGCTAAAACATAGTCTATACAGCAAAGTCTTATCCAAACTCACATAGGAACAGGCCTTTTAGTAAAATCCTTTTAACTATAGCTATAATTTAAAATTACGTAAATATCTTCAGCAAATACATTATAGTGTTTAAAATTATGACTATTATTTAAAGCTGTCAAAACTGGGTTGTGCATTAACAAAGCATAAATATGCTAGCTAGTATTTCAAGTCTTGCTCTCTTGGAGGCATATGGCCAAAAGATGTAATTATGAAGTACAAGAGATTGAAAAAGCCTGGAGACTCAATGCTGAAAGTATGGTATACAGTTCTGTAATTGCATTAATGGAAACTGCCCTTGAACTACATTAGAAGAGTACACAATTTTTTTTTTGTTAGAAAAAACGACAATTGCAACCAGAAATTCTGCCCTCTGCTAAAATTAACTTTGCTAAATTTATACTGTACAAAAACACTGCTCGGGATTCGTAGTTCTACGGCCCAGGGATCGATCCTAATTGGAGGTGGAAACAAATGGGCAGTTTCTTTCACCCTGATGCCTGTGTTCACCTAGCAGTAAAAGGTACTTGGGAGTTAGACAGCTGCTACTGTTTAACATTGCTTCCTGAGGAAGTGGGGGGGGGGGGGGAAGAGAGAGAAGGGCAAGCACAACTAGGTGAGTATACTAAATACATCTGATACAATGAAATTAAATTATAACATTTACCATCTTATTTATGGAATGCTAAGGAGCCAAAATTGTTTAGTAACAAAAGTACCTCATTATTAAGCAATTGCATTACTATACGAACATGGCAAAAGAATTAAGAGATGTAAGCTCCTCTGTTGAATGTTAGGATTAAGTTTTGATATATTACACAAAAGGAATAAAACATTCAAGGAGGATTATACATACTATACCATTTTTTTGATAAGGGTGCTTTTCAAAAGGAACAGCAACAAAAGATATAAATTGCAACATACAAGCAAACACATACTTGACACTTTATAATCTATTTACAATGATGAACTTGAATCATTATGGTTGTTATACAATAATTTTTTTCAACGCTTCAATGGATGCTAGACTATATGCTTGATTACAATTTTTAAGGTCTACAATACTGTATTTTATATTTATTGACTTCACTAGTCGTTATGATAATTTTTTAAGAATGTAAGGTTGTCAACATTGGGAATTTGTTCAGTTTTAACACATTTGTACATATAGAAAAAACAAGTTTTACCTACTGTTTATATTAAATATTGGATTGAAATAATAGAAAACTACATTCAATAGATTAATAAATTTAGCAAACACATGCCTCAATTACTAACCTGCAGCCTTGAGGTACAATTACTCCAAGTCTGGGAGATCTTCATCGTCTGAATCTTCATCTTCAAGATCATCCAAAGATGGCCGGCTGTCACCACCCAAGCCACCCATCTGACGCATTACCTGAAATGCAACATTTTACATGAATCCGAGACCAGGCTATTGATGTTTGCCGAATAATGCACCGGTAAACAAAAAATATCATTACTTATAAGATACTAAATATTCTTAATATGCCTACCTCTTCAAGATCTTGGTTCTGACCTTCTCCTTCATCATCACTATCATCTTCATCCTTCCACCTGCTGAAGTCTACCTTAAGCCAATGTTGCTTCATTTTTTGTTTAAGAAGGTGTGGCCAGAAAGGTCCATCGTCCTTCTTGGTCAATATCAGCTCTATGTTACGAGCGCGGACAAAGCTACGGCTTTTCTGTCAGGGTTAGTAAGTTGGATATCAGCAAGTGCAGTAAGACAATATAATGATCCCTAATACTTCACTCAATGATAATGCACTTCACTGAAAAGAAAGTGAAGGGGCAATTATATTCAAATCTACAGTCAATTGAGCTTATGAAAGAAAATAGTATGAATAATGGTAAAAACTACTGAAAACATGCTTTTGACAGCAAGCAAAGGTACGTATCCCCAAGATAAGTTCACTGTCAATATAAGCAATCTTCCAGAGGAAATACAAAATCATATGAACATGTTTACTGATGATCCTGTACTACTGGGGGAAGAAAAGGGACTCGGATAATTATTTTGCCCTTCGAGATAACCCAAAGTATGGAGTAACAAACACTTGGCAGATGGAATTGAACATGAATAAATGCCATGTTATAGAATGTGGAATAGGAGGAAATAGGCCCCACACAGCCTACAAAATATGCAAAAAGCCATTAAAAAGTCAAATAGTGACCATTTGGGACCATCTAGGAATGGTACCAAATAGTAAACTTTTTTACATAAAAATAAAAGAATGAATTGTGAGAGAAGCCTATGCTCTGCACTTTCCAACTTTAGAATCACTGAAATATATGGACTGTGAAATACTGAAGAAACTCCATGACTTTTGTGACCAAAATTGGAACATGCAGCAGTTATATGGTGCCCATACCTCAAAAAACATATCAATAAACTGGAAAAGGTGGAAAGACATGTTACTAACTGGCTTCTAACCCTGAAAAAAACAAAAGTAAGAGAGACTAGAAGTGTTAAATACGGCAAAGCTAGAAAATAGAAGGAAAAAGATACATTATGATCACTACATACAAAATATTAATAGGAACTGACAAAGAAATTCTTTGCCAACAGCGTGGTAGAAGATTGAAACAAGTGAAAAGGCAGTGGATACCAAAACCACTGTAGTACTGTAGTTTCAAAGTGTCATACAACATAGCTGGGAAGACTAGGCACCACAGGCACAGCTCTAATACTGTAACTACACAATCTCTATTTCAATAATAGCTAATCAAATTACAGTACTTCCACTATTGCTTTAAACCCAAGGAAACCAATGTCTTAATTTAATGGCAATAACTCCCATAACTTGTTTCTGGAAAGCTAACTTACAAAGTAAATTAAACCAACACACGTGACTAGAATTTCACTATATAAAATGAATTACTTACTTCAGGGTCAACTTCTTTAAAGAGATCATACGTATATTCATAGTCTTTCTTTTCTGTTCCACCAGTGCCCTTGAAATATATTTTATTTTCTTCTATATTAATTGTAGGACTTTTGCAATCTTCCACACAAATGGTGAGGAACACCAGGTGTTTCCTCTGTGCCCAGGCAACTGGAGGAGGGGCAAGATTCCTGCAAGTAGGAAACAAAAATTCAATATACTGATATGGTTTTAAATCAATGATATACTCAACACATCGCCAAATCACCTTCAATACCCTGACTTGTACAAACAATTGCTAGTGTAGTACTATAAGATGTTTGCGATAAGCTGTCACTGCAGTAGTGAGGAGCACAAAGCGCTGAACACAATGTAAAGAAACACCAGGGTGAGAGTATAGTTTTACAGTGGATGAGGTAGAGGTAGTGCAAAGGTGAGGTACTTTGTATTGTAATTCATATTTCTGTACCATTTAGTAAAAAGGGGAAGTCCATGTTTAATTTTTGGCCATTCTGTACGATGGTAGGCTTATATCGAACCAATAAATTCTCTTCAATTATAAATTAGTAACAGTAATTTTCATAAACAATATATACATTTGTACTCGCCTAGTGTTATGTATGTACACACACATGTACGTGTTTACATAAACGTGTGTGTGTGAATGTGTCTAAAAAAAACTAGGCAATCTAAATTTTATATAAAAAATTGCATAGTAAGCAGTAAATTATGTGATTTCCTATTATTTAATAGAAATCAAAGTTAATATGTCATAAGCGCTGGTGAAACTATAATCGCTGTAAAAATTACGAATTAAATAAATCAAACTGATAACTGAGCCAGAGGCAGTGGGCCACACGCAATGCCACAACTTACTATAGGGTGCTCACCTGCTAAATTCATACAGAGTGATGCATGAGATATGCTCGTTTTTGCTAGACTGTCATATCTTACGACACCTGAAGGGTTTGTTCAGTTACTTAAGTGTCCAGACACTACAATACTGAATTGGCAAGCGGTAACTACAGCATTCCCAAAAAACAAAGCAAACCAACGAAACAATATTGATGCCACTGCACTACACACTCCACCTAACATCTTGCTTCTATCAAAAGCCAAAAATTGGCCCACTGTCTTATAAATTAGACTCCCAATATTATTAATACAAGTGTCTAGAGATGGAAATTTTGTCTCAAACAGTCTGCATCAAGACTGTCTCCGACCTACAAACCATCACACACTAAAGTCGTCGGTCGAGTTCTAATGTCTTTCACATTTAGTACTGGATCCATTTATTGATGTATAAATACATATCCTAATTCATAGGCCAAGCAAGACTTTTACCATCAAAGCAATATATGGGAGTACAGTTGTACACTTTTGCTTATCTATGTGACAATCAACAACTACCATACCTTTTGATTATTGAATACAAATTTAGAGTAACCTATCATGACATTCTGTTACAATAGAATTTCTAATCACAGTAAAGTATTTTCAAAGTGTAGAACCGTATTGGCAGAAGTCTATAGCAATCTGCAGACGATGAGTGACAATAACATGAGTGAAGATATGACGACCAAACCACACATCAGAAAATGAAGAAACGACGACGTTTCGGTCCGTCCTGGACCATTATCACACACGGCTTGAAGGTCCAGGACGGACCGAAATGTCGTAGTTTCTTCCTTTTTCTGATGTGTGATTTGGTCACCTATAATAATCTGTAATGAAACTTGTCAGTGAACTAACGTCTTTAAAGTTAACTTAATTTCGGTTGTTTGTAAACCATATTGAACTACATACACATTTGAAACACTATTTTCTTATCCTTCATTACTGGTCCATCAGAACAAGTTATTAATCTTTCTGTATCTGGAATGAGTGTGGTCTCTTAGTCCATTTTTCAAAGATGACTAATACTGTACTGAATATGGAAATTTGTTCATTTTATTTCTAAGTTTTTGGCAATTCTACAAACTGGCTTCTAACCTGAAATGAGGGACACAGACCAATGCTGGCCTTCAAATTACAGTACTAAATATACACATACAAGAATTAAGAAGCACCCCAGAAACCCTATTGGCCCATACTAAGTGGAGTCCGTTCAAATTCACCACCTCTCAAGCCATGTACCTTTCCAGCCTACAGTATTCTTAAAACCTGCACAACTTACTCAAAATGCAGTACTATCTATGTAGAAAACCTCGAGAAGTATTACAAGTTAAGGAGTGCTAGTGAGAGGATACTTTAAGCTGGCCTGACCTAGCTCCTGTATAGTCATTATCTTTTTTTTAATTATCTGGAGATACCAATTGGTTCAGATAATATGGATAGCACAGTAGAAACAAGAAATGCCAAAAAAGTATTTTGAACATATTGTACTTGAATGTAAAATTGGTGGAACAAACAATTTTGGGAACATTTTTTAAATTTGTACTTACCTTTAAGAATACTATATATTAATACAGTAACTCCTTAAATTAAAAGGAGTAATTAATAGGAAAACAAAAAGGAGTAACGAAAGGAAAAGGCACCATCTCCCAGCTTACTATACGAGTTTGCCCATTAGTGATTTCTTTCCGGACCAAGATCAAACTGGTTGCACAGTATATATTTACATACACAGCACTGTGTGTAGAATTATGTAATGAAACTCTACAAAATTGCACCCAACAGAAATGATAGTATAATGATACAATAAGTTCATACCCAAAGACATTTTACCAATAAATATTTAAAACCAAACCATCCTATCAATATAACCAGTATGCAGTTTTAACAAGTAGAAAATTAACTTTTTCTGAAGACCAACATATGACTTGACCCAGTATAAGAGGTTTAGCGTTCTCACTGCTTTATCAAAATAGGAAATTACCAAGTATAATAACAAGGAAGATGCACCCTTAAATTATTAGCTACACTGTACAGTATAAGAAATTCAATTACGTAAAATAAAGTTTTAGTATATTATATTCACAAATGGTGTAGAAAAAATGCTCAATGGGCAATTTAGACAAAGGGTTAAAAAATGGTCAACACTATGCCATTCTTCTTTATGATAGGTGCAATTTGCATGAAGGCCGATTCAACGAACTATATGGGGACCAGCCCCAGTGCGTTGCAGCGTTGGATTCGTAGTAAGAGGTAACCTTCAGAAGGCATTTGCATTACTTTTTTTTCTTGTACACAATAAAAATGCATTATCATATTATATACTGTACCTATATATTACTACTCTACTAAAAAATACTGGTTACATTTGTTATTTACCTTATTGTTGGAGTTATGTCCATCTCGAAGGAGTTGTGAATGCTGTACAGTAAATATGTACTGTAGTGTATTATGCCATTAGCACTATGTTGTTTAAATAGTTCTGCTGTATGTTGAGTACTACAATACAGTTTATGAAAACTACTGTAAACTAAAATTACTGCAACTTTAATTTTAACACTATGTACACACAAATTTAACACTTGTTCTAACTGTTCACTCCACGCACACACACAATGTTTTTAGATGTTTGCAACAGCTTTGCTGGTGCTCGCTGCTGCTGTGTTGGCTTCAGCTGCTGCTGAGCTGGTGCAGGCTGCTGTTATACTGGTGCTGGGTACAGCTGTGCTGGTGCTGTGTACGGCTGTGCTGGTGCTGTGTACGGCTGTGCTGGTGCTGGGTGCGGCTGTGCTGGTGCTGGGTGCGGCTGTGCTGGTGCTGGGTATGGCTGTGCTGGTGCTGGGTATGGCTGTGCTGGTGCTGGGTATGGCTGTGCTGGTGCTGGGTACGGCTGTGCTGGTCGATTTTCTACTAGTTTGTGAAAAATATTGACTCGTTTTCGCTTGTTTCCTTCTTTTTCTCATGTCCTCGAGACAAATATCTTTCATCATCCTTAGGTGATGATAAAAGCCTGGTAGCTCTGGATTGTCAGTTTGTGAAACAATATCAAGGAGCTTTTCAACATAGAACAATGCATCAGCACATGTAGCAGATTGTAACCTGCTATCATGCTTATCCTTATCAACAGTCATGTCAGGTTTCTCTATTATGTCTAATTTCTGATCAATGGATAAACTCCTCTTCCTCTTTGTAGATACAGCACGATTAGCAAGCTCTTGAGACATCTTCTTGTATAATAATACAGCTGTAGTCAAAAAATAGTAAATTCCACGAATTATTCTTCCATCAGCGGACAAACACGTCACTCGCAGACAAAGCTAATGGAACTGGATGCCTACTGTATGAACGCAGACTAGGTCTATACAGATGCAGACGAGGAGTCACAGTAACGTGGCTGAAGTATGTTGACCAAACCACACACTAGAAAGTGCAGGGATGACGAAGTTTCGGTCCGTCCTGGACCATTCTCACAATCGACTTGAGAAAGGTCCAGGACAGTCCTAAACGTCGTTGTCCCTTCACTTTCTAGAGTGTGGTATGCTCAACATAGATCTATACACCCTGCAGTAGGCTGGTGTTTAAGCCAGATCCAGTAACAAATTTCTCTCAAATATTGGATTTACAACAAATTACAGTACAGTATATATTTTTGGATTATATATTTAATTTAGTAACATTATTAGGATAAGAGATACAGTATAAAAAAAAACTTATTTTAGAACTGATTTATTAATTTTATTATTTCGAGACCGTAGGTCACTGAACTGTGGCAATGAAATCGAACGAAACACACACAGTGCTGTGTGTACAAGGATTAGACCTGTCCCCTCGCACTGGAGTTGTTGTTCCAATAACATAAATAATTTCTCGTCTATCATATTACAGTATATTTTCGGTTTTATTTAGTTTGGTTTAATTAGGATAATAAAAATCGACTTGAGAATGGTCCGGGACGGACCGAAACGTCGCCGTCTCTTCACTTTCTAGTGTGTGGTTTGGTCAACAAGAATAATAAGCTATTAAAACACTGGTTTTAGAAATGATTTATTAATCTGAAACTTTCAAAGTCATGGGTCACTGAACTATGACGACACAGATGAAGGAAAACCAAGTGAGGTTGACAGTACAGTATTACTTTGTGTCCACCCTCGCTCATCTTGTTTCATCACAGAAAATGTCGTAGATTTTACCACATGTAGCTAGCTAATCACGCTTCAGCCTTTAAATTAATTTACAAAAATACGTGTGCCACAAATCAGTGAACGAAAATCATGGAAACTCAAGTCATTCACTTGTGTGGACCACTCTGTCTGGTGTTTGGTTCATGTATTCACCTAGTTGTGTTTGAGGGGGTTGAGCTTGGCTCTTTCTGCCCGCCTCTTAACTGTCTATCAACTGTTTACTAACTTCTAATTTTTGTTTTTTCCCACACCCCACACACACACACACACCCCAGGAAGCAGCCTGTGATAGCTGACTAACTCCCAGGTACCTATTTACTGCTAGGTAACAGGGGCATTCAGGGTGAAAGAAACTTTGCCCATTTGTTTCTGCCTGGTGTGGTTCACTTGTTGTGTGGTCCACTTGTGTGATCCAACTTGTCATTTGAAGGAATTATTAATTGTAACCTGTGATGGAATGGGGAAACTTTTCCACCACTCTGTGAACTCTGTCCCAACATCGCTTGTGGACCACTTGTGTGATCGAACTTGTCATGAGGGAATTATTAATTGTAATCTGTGATAGGATGGGAAAGTTTTCCACCAGTCTGTGAACTCTTTGTCTCAACATCGTAAGCAAATCCGAACATCGCCCCCTTTGGCGAACCATTGTTTGTCAGACCGGGTAAATCCAGCCTGAAAAGTGTGCGAACTAGCCGGAGATTTGTTGAATCGAGGTAGTACAGTATGTATGTGTATAATATATATATATAAATATATAATGTGTGCAACATGTGTGATGTCAGTTTTAATTCTGAGGACCATTTTAGCATACTACTGTACTGTGGTTAAGAAGTTTGATACTAAATGTTGGAGAATTGTGAGACATGTTTGTCCCAAACAGAGACAAGTTAATTAAAAAAAAATAATGAGAATTCTAGTGAAGTATCCTAAGGTAAAATAAGTGAACTACTTTGTATAGTTATACTTAATACTACTTAATTACATTAAATTATAGCTATATACAGTAGCTACTTAAAATACTAAATTATTTTAAATTACAGCTACTGTATATATATTAAAATAGCTACTTAAAATACTACGAGTATTTTAAGCTGTTGTCGCTAGATGGCACCCACACCAAAATATTTATTTGCAAGATTCAATGTATGGTTAACTAGTATATATACACAGTGTTTACTAGTTTTTATACACTATAAAAACCATGAATAGCTAGATTCAGATTAAGACTTAGGATAGGTTTGGTATGGTTGGGTTGGGCAAGGTTAACAAAATTCCATTAGCAAACAGTCTTGGGGTACAATGATACTTGTAGCCTTTTCAAGACCATGAGAATTTTTTTTATGCTACATACATATAAAGTTAACAAAATATGAGAAAAAGTCATGCTACTGGTAAATTATTTCTGGCGGCAAGTGTTGTTTTTTATAGATTCAAGTTACTGTATTAATTTCACCAATTCATCCAATAAGTACAAAATGGATCTTATATATAAATATATATCTATAAATTAAGCAAGCACTGGCCAGTAGTTTAATTTTGGGATCATTCAATTAGCAAATTGTCCACCGCATGTTTGAACAGCTTCCCGTCAATTATAGTACTATATACGAGAGGAAGTAATAATAATCCCCAAACTAGCGAGATATAACTCATCATTTTAAGTGATAAAAACCTTCAAAAAATGCCAAACGCACTACAACGTGATCATGTCCACGCCTTCACAGTCGCCCACGACAATGACCTCACATTCAACGCCTAACCTTTATCGTGTCTTAGGGTAATGTTATTAATGTTATCCCATAGTGGCTTAGTCGCTATAAGGCGGGTATTGGTATCGATAACTTGGGTGAATGAGGTGGCGTGGACCCCCACGCTGCCGGTGCTTCACGCGCTCATTTAAGCTCTTTCTTGTACTGAATCTCCCCCAGCCGCCATCACTCCGGCGCCGCGGCTCCGGCTCTCAACTGCTGCAGTCAAACCCTTGCGTCAATCACCTTACAATCACTGTCAAATTCATAAAAGTACTCACTGTGCGGTTGACATGGTGTTTGGCGTTTGGTCTTGGCAACGTAAATAAGTACTTTAAGGATTAATAGAATTCGCAGCCCTGGGCTGAGAGGTGTTAAAGCCTCTGTCTGACTCAATCCTTCTCTCTCCGATGCTCACTTCTCTCTCCTTTTACATTCAGATCCTTTCTAAATTTATACACCGCTCTGCACCAGATATTTGTACGATGATGCTCAAATACAGCAGCCAAATTATTCAGTGATATAATTGGTGTAATAATGCCGGGAAGGGTTAAGGCGTTTTATTTGATTTAGCCGCTGATCACGCGGGCACATGGTATGGGGGAGGGGCTGGAGGGCAGGTTCCGCTTGCATGCTGCTCGTCCCGTATTTTCGGAAGCTTCCAGAATGAGCTGGCACAAAATCATTAGAATCGATAGAAATTTCGGAATATGCATCTTTTTAGAAACAACTCGACATGATTTCGCGACTTGACAACAAAAATGAAGCGAACATTATTAACAAAAGTTAAACGTAATATTGTCTAAAAATCGATTTTACTCCTGCCATAATCACATGGCAACTGAAACATGCCCGATTTCAGACGTCGGACTCTGAGTTTGTCACGTGTTATTTGGAATGATTTTTACAATATGGCTTCGGCAGTCTGTCATTGCATGAATGATAATTAAATACAAATTTAAACGAGTTGATTAATTAAATAATTAATACAAAAATAATTCGTCATGTACAACTTACTGAATCACGTCTAAAGTACGTACTGAACATGAACTGAACGAATGCAAAAACGAAACGTGTTCCCTGCTCCGGCTGTAGGTAATGCATGCACATGACTAAAGCTGCCGCCCAGTTGCGTGGGTGTGCAGCAAGACTAGTAACTGTGTGACTCACCATAGATGTAAAGTGCCTTGTATAGTGACTTGTGAGCTTCTTGTTGAATCACTTATGACAAAAGATTATTGATGTGTGGGTGATTATATATGTATGTGTATGTATACATATATATATATATTTCATTGAATATGACCGCATATTCTGTATTTATTATTTTCTGGTTTAGGGCTTCTATCCCTCTAACTATTTTCTTAGCATCAGGGCTTAATTGAAAAATTGAATTTAATTGAATTTTTCAATTAAGCCCTGATGCTAAGAAAATAGTTAGAGGGATAGAAGCCCTAAACCAGAAAATAATAAATACAGAATATGCGGTCATATTCAATGAAACATGTTTGAAAGAAAACCTGCTGCCAGTATACACCAATATATATATATATATATATATATATATATATATATATATATATATATATATATATATATATATATATATATATACATATATATATATATATACATACAGTTAACTTAACTGGCCAATTGTTAACTTAATTGTTGGGATTGCAAAAGCCATTCATTCATCTATACCTTGAAAAACAAAGGATTCTCAACACGGTTTTGCTAAGGGCCACTCGATCTTGTTTACCAATTTGGTCTTTTACTATTCAAGCATATTTGAAGTAGTTGATAGTGGAAAGGACTGTAACGTTGTGTGCAACTTAACTTTAGCAAAGCTTTTGATACAGTGCCACACGAAATACTGATTAAAAAGATAAACCTAGGCGCACGGTATTAGGGGGTGCTATCTTACATTGGATAAGGGCATTGTTGTGTCAAAGGAAACAAAAGAGTTAATTAAGAGTGGTTAAGTCAGATCGAAAAATTGTAGGCGGAGTGCATCAAGGCTCTGTCCTGAGACCTTTGTTGTTTATCATATACGTAAATTATTTTGAGTCGGGATTGAGCAACAATATTTGCAAATTTGTAGATAATATGAGAATTGGGCAGGAGATAAATTCAGAAGACTCAAAATCACTTCAAGACGATCTAGACAGACTTTTGAAATGGCTGAAAGATTGGCTGTTTGGAAGATGCAATTTAGTGCTGACAAGTGTAATTATGATGCTTGATAATGATTGCGGAGTTACAAGATACCAGCTGGTGATGAAGTTGCGAAGTCTGATTGCGAAAAAGATCTGAGGATCATGATGAGTAGAAATTTAAAACCAAAAAATAAATGCATAAATGTTGGAAATAAGGCAAATACGAATACTAGAATTTATTTCTATCTTGTTATGCCCCATTTAGATTATGCAGTTGAGTTTTTGTCGCCATACAATAAACATAATTCACTAAAATGCATTCAATGAAAAATAACAAAGGTGGATATAAATGGGACATGCCACAATTTGGTCAATAGGCCTTCTACAGTTTCCTTAATTCTTATGTTCTATTTTGTGTTGCCGCTAACAAAATCTTAATCATTCTCGACTCACAATTGGAAGTTCCGGGTTCATATCCTATCGCCTAATGCCCCGTTCATCCAACAGTAAAGGTAGGTACCCAAGAAGCCAGCTAGTGGGCTTACATCCTGGGGTAGTAATTCGACCTTAGGAGGGACCTCGATATAAGCCTAACATATATATATACACAGGCTATCTGTCCCCAGACACAAGGAATTATTACTATAAGTTTGGAGTGGCAGTTTGATAAACTGTCGCTCCTAAGAGGGTATATAGGGTTGATAGCGCTTTGGCAATACTCACCTTTTTCATTGTGGTTTTCAGCATTAATATTATCAGCATCATTGTTGATCATTTCGTGCGTATTGAGTATATATGCACAATAAACTACCGCTCACAGAATATAAACAAGTATGGGATGCACAATTGTTTTTTAAACTACTGCTCACAGCATATATATGAATATGGGGTCTGCAATAAACTACCGCTCACAGGAATGCATATCCTGTGAGCGCAATATAATTATCGTCATAGGATGAGTATTGTGTGCGCGACAAACTACCATTGGTAAAGGTTGATTATATTCTGGCATGATTGGTATTAGAATGCCAATAAAGAGTCCGAGAGGGAGAAAGAGCTACAGTAGAGTGTAACATGGAGCACTATGGCGAGCAGTGCTGCACGGAACACACGGTGATCGAGCAACGATGCATGGAACACAATATAGGAATCGAGGAATACTACACAGCACTGGGAAACAATGCAGCACATAGAACAATGCAGCGTTGTGATTACAGCTGTAACTGCGAGACTGTGTTACTGGAGTATTGGAATGACGTTTAGACAACAATTAAGTTGAGAGGGTACAAACCGGTTGAAAAGTGTGTGTGTGTACACCACGTGACTGGTACCACAAGCCACCCACTTTGTCCATCCCCCCTCCCTGCTCTCTGTACTCAATTAAGGTGAGTACAGAGAGCAGGAGGGGGGATGGACAAAGGGGGTGGCGCGAAGCCTTATTTATAGTATCAAGTATCCACTGTGACCCACACCTTTCCGCGGCCCCTGTCTAGCTAGCCTAGTACCCCCACACCAAATGTTATGCTCGCTATTGTCTTCTCATCTAGTTTTTTATTTCTTTTCACATTTTCATGCTTAACTGAATGCTCTTCATCTGTTCTATATATATTTTTCTGTTCAAGTGTCTTATCAGGGTATCAGCTCATGACAACAGACTCTCTTCCACAAATAATGAATTATCAGAGTTTACCCGAGGGCAACCAACTCTGTATTGAGACCTCGACGAGGATAGGAAGTCGGCGGCTTGTCAAAGATACCCCCCATTTGTCCTGATGATTTTATTGAACTTAAGTTGCAGCAGTGTTTTGGCATTTACGGCTTCAGCGGGTATAGGACCTCAGAATAAGTCTACCGTGTATGAATACATTCTGGCCACTTGTCCCCCGACACAATGAATTATTATGAATTATAAAATGGTAATTGTTAAAAGTAGAGGTAGAGGTCTGCATAGAGGTAAAACTAAAGTGACTGCATTATTGGTATGATCAATCCAAGTGAATTACTCCAAACTATATGCAGCTCATCCTCCCCCCGTCCCATCCCAGATCCTTATCCTGATCCCTTCCAAGGGCTATATAGTCGTAATGGCTTGGCTCTTTCCCCCTGATAGTTCGCTCACCCTTCTCGTTAAATAGTACTTACAGTAACCATGTGGTCCACCGTACATATGTTGACGTAATGGACAATTAGAAAGTATAATTTGGTACTACTGAATTTAGACAAACCGGAAAAAGATTTTTAATTTGTTGCTAACCAAACGCAGCCTAACTTAACCATTCTAGCCCTAATACACGATCTGAAGCCTCAACGTAGTACCTATATGTACTTTATGAAGCCTAGGAATATTCATGTTCGGTTTTTAGATTGATTTTTTCCGAACGTTTAGTATATTACAATTAAGTGTATTACGTTTAGTGAACGTTTAATTCATTGCGTCTATACATGTACGATGGCCCACAGTTACAAAAAGTTCTAGTTAAACAGGAGGATGGGTTGTATATGGCCACAGTTGTCAACCAAGTAGCGGGGTTATCGTGTGCGAATGTGCAACTTGCACAAGAACGGCCACTGAGGAACGTGTGCTCAAGAACATGCACCCCGAAACGTGCGCGTTCAGGAACATACCCTCAATAACGAGTGCAGAAATGCACGGCTCATGAACGTGCAATAGCTACCAGAAACGTCTCGAGACTGTCAAGAGAAGATTATTTTAAGGACTTGGCTGCTGCAACATCGTGATGCAGCCCCGTCCGCCTAAAGTTTCCCAACGTCAAGAAAACGGTCAATGTAAAGTGTTCTCTCCCAACGTACCAGAGGTCCCAAAACAGAAAACGGGACAGTACGTCACTTTTCGCCAGCCGCTTCCATTTTCTAGTACGACAATTTTTGGCCTTTATGTAACGCATACGATTGAATAGCGACGTTCTTTGCAAGAGGACACGTTTCCTGATGAGCATAATTGGGGACTTTAATTACGTTTATTGCTCATATATATATATATCTATCTATCAATCAAGCGTAGTGGGCGCTGTTTGTCGAGCAGTGTCTTCTATGTTGGCATCTTCACGTTCTGTGGTCTTGTTCTTACTCTCATGGTGGGCAGAGTGAATAGTTCCGTAATTTGAGTATTTATGGTAGGTTGTTCTATTTTTATGTGGATTGCTTCAAGAATTTGTAAATTATAAGTGTTTTTATTCAACATGTCTCTTTGTTAGGGTGATGTCATGGGCTTGTGGAAATTAAGGGTAACATAACACACATTGCTTGTTGGTTTCAAGGTCCACCCTACCATGTGATGCTAGCTATAGAGGTATTTTTTTTAAGCTGTTAGTAACTGGTGACAAAAATGAGAAGCAATAGTAAGATGCGATTTTATTTACATTTTTACATATATTTTTTTTTAGCTGGTTATGTTCATGATCAATTTCCTCAACATTACTGTTAATTTTTCTTACCGAGAATATACCAATGATAGCCTGGCACCGTTGCCTAATATTGAGTGCTTTTCTTCACCGTTCGCACAGTGCTACCATACTGTATCTTATCAGCAACTGTTTTATCAGTTCTTATTGTATTAAAAAGCTGTTATGCTGCACCTACCAGCTAGTCTTCATTTTCCTTCACCAGTTCTCAACAAGGATAAGTCATGCCAAAATAAAATTGTCTAATTTTTACCTGTTGACTAATGTAACTAATAAATTTGACTTTAAAAATGTCTAAAAAATAATAATAAAGGCGGACGTTTTCTATAGATAAAGGTGAACAAAGTCGGGTACATTAGCACTGCAAGTGATAGTGGATCAAGGTCACTAGCCTTACTGTCATGAAGCGCACACTACCATTTGATATATTAAACCCTGAAGAATGACTATAGTACTTTTCTGAAGTTACTGTGCTATGGATATTGCGAATCTAGTTCAAGAGAAGTTTAGTTGATAAGATGTTATGCAGAGCTGTATACAGTATTGATTTGCAAAAGTTTGCAAACTGCTGAACCTGGGACTAAAATTAAATTCAATCAAGACTGTATTCAAGATGGATATAGTATACTATACATTGCCAAAAAAAGAAACATGCATGGGTTGTTGAGGTCACCCTGTCCAAGGACAAGGTATTATGTTCTGTGGTAAATAGAGTAGAATTAAGGCTTAACAGCATAAGTGTTGTGGCTGTGTAATCCAGTGTTAGTGTACATGTGGTCACCCATCAATCTACCAGCAGTCTGAATGGGAGCTTAACCTGATCGACCAAGCAATGATACATCCCCAGCACCATACCAATAAAGGAACCAAACGTTTTTCCTTTTCTTTAGTAAATTCTCTAAGAACAGCACAGATATATTTGCCAACCTTAAAAGGGAGCAGCAGCTAGTAATAAGTAAATGGAACAGTTTTGATAAAAATTAATTTCTTGCCCATGTCCTTTAACAGATAGATTTCAAGAAACTGGTTTAGAAATTGTCTAGCATCAGTGACTTGTGACTCGGCTATTACCAGTGAAAAATATATTTAGTTTTATGCAGGGCACTAGGCAATACCAATTTTTAGGCTGATGAAAATAGAAAATAAAAATTAACATTTGGTTTTGGGGATTATAGGTACACGAATCGAGACCTTGCATTAAAAAAAAAATTGGAAGAGATACTGTTTATGGTTTTGCAGATGAATGCAAGAGTTGAATTAACCAAATTATATAGCAACAAACATGATAGGGAAAAGTTAATGGGCCAAAAAAATGACATTTTACAGGAGCCAAATATCCTGTAAAATGCCAATACGAGAACAAAAGAACCCAAGAGTAATGACATATTTATCCGATCCCTCAAGAATTGTCGAGTGACAAGTGATCCAGAGGGATATTAAGATAAGATTTATGATCTTGAGGAGGAAGGAAGAGCAATGTTAAGAGTGTGCAGTTTGTTACCTGTAATGCCAGATCATCGACATTACCAACAGTTGAATGGAATGAACAAATTCCATACGACCACGAATGAAGTTCAAAGTAGCAGAAAAGCTACCAGCATCTATCAATGAATATGATAAACAAACTTGAGACAACTTCACACGTGTAAGGCAAAAAGAGTATACATGGCAAAGCCAGTATACTATGTCTACTGAATTCCAAGATTTTTATTTTTAATTTGATTTGGAAAGAAGCAGCACATTATTTATGGCTGCTGAATACCATTACTGAAAAACTATTAGGCTTAACAAGGTTTTTATGACCAAACCACACACCAGAAGATTGAGAGACGACAACGTTTCGGTCCGTCCTGGACCATTATCATATTGACACAATCGACTTGATAATGGTCCAGATGGACCGAAATGTCATCGTCTCATCTTCAGCCACGTTACTGACTCGTCTGTTTATCGAGGTTTTGTTAGCCCAGGGCAAGGTACTGAACCCAGTTACTGAGTGATGTGCACATTAAACTGCCTCAATGGAATTTTAACAGCAATTAAGAAATCGACAACTTCCTGCTCGATTTTATGGGATATGGAGAAAATCTTCCAATAAAACCAAAAGTACTAATTCATAGGTAGTAGAGAAATACCCAGATACACATGCATGATGTATTAAAAGTGGAGAAAAGTAAGGTTGGAAGTAATCATCATAAGGCACCAAGCCAGGGAGATTAAGGAAGATAAAAGCAACACTGTCTACAGTACACTTAGTAGAAATGCTTTAGCCTCTTTGTTCTATAGTACTTTTCCACCCCCATTTCCACTAAGAAAGTTGGAATACAAGTTAGCAATGATGACTCGGCACACTATATGGCAAGCAGTCATTGCTAGATTTCTCTCTCATTGCAAGTTTCCTCTTTTTCACAAATTAGCTTTGAAACTATCCAGAGAATTCATTCAACCTTTTTTGTCTTGCAGATGTCACTAGACTTCAATGAACAAAATGCTTCCAAGACTTTTTTCTTCCAGAATGGATTGCATTTTGAATATAATTTTTAATGTCCTAATCAGTTTAGCCAATTACTTTTGTATTAAAATAGTTGCATATATCAATTTAAATTTTATACAAATCATTTAAGATTCCACAATGATACTTCAATAGCATCTCATGGCTTATACTAGCTTAAAACTATGAATGAAAATAAAAACTTGCTCATGGGGCAAATTCAGAATGTATTTGAATAAGAATTACACATAAAACTCATAGAGTCTATTTCCTTTCACAGCAATTAAGATGTCCAGCTGCATCTAATACACAAAAACCATACACATGAAAGGTTATCTATCGGCTAATTGTAAACCTTGTACTGTACAGTTTAACAAGGTTCTTTTGGGTCAAAACTTTAAATGATTTGTGATAAAACCTTTGAGCCATAGATGGTCTACCAATAGTATTCAATGCTTAATTTATAAATAAGAAAATAGCATCCAGTACTTAAGCCTGAAAAAAAGTTGACAATTATTTTTATTAACTTCAACATAATTTTGAGTATAATTACACTTCTATAATCTACTTGCACCATCCACTTAGGAGTATCACAATCAAGGAAATTTTATTAATTTTTAAATTCAGTCACCAATACTATATACTGCATATACACTGTAGGAGACTCATACAAAATTCTACCTAAAAACCACAGATGCACATAGCTGGGTCTGTGCAAACTTTTTCAATCAGAAAAAAAATAAAGGTACTTGTGTGGCAAAAAATAAACTTCCTTAACCTAACATAGCCTTAGTCCTACACTCGTGGGAATGTGTTACATCAATGGCCTCCAGTTTGTTCCTGGTAAACTTCAATAACATCGTCATTTTCCATTTCCAGCTGAAAAAGAAGAAATTTAATTTGTTTTAATTGGAACGTGTTATAAAATTTTGCAAAATCTATCATATTTCTCTGTACAGATGTTTAAACATCAATGCTAAGCTCAAAATACACAAGAATTCAAGTTTTTCTATTAGCATGCAATTCAATTATTTCATTAAGAAGTGTATTTCAACCAATTTAGTACCTAAGAAATAAGTTAAAAGTTCACAAGGCATTGTAGAGGGGGTGAGAAGATGGGGGAACCACCTTCCAAAACAAAGCCAAATCTTGTTGGACTTTGTTCACAGCACATGAAGTTGACGGTTTCATCTTAATGTATTTGGATATCATATTGTTTCAATATTTATTCAGAACCATTAGATCAACTCATTTAAGTGCAAATTGATGCTTACATAATTACTAATCTAAAAACAAGCCTGCTACGAGCTCACCATAGACCGTGCTGCTTGGAACTTTTGTTCCGAATTGCTGAATCTAAAACATACTAATCTAGGAATGTTCTATCAAACATTAGAGATAATAAATTACTCCAACCTCCCCCTACATCATTGTAACCATTTTCCCTACAAACTATCTTCATCACTGAGTCTATCTTAACACTTTTGTGTTCCGATGAGTTTTTACCATCACCATTTACCATCATTCTTCACTGTCCTCCTTATAATTCACCACATTCCCTACCCTTCGCTACTTTTCTTTTATTCCTGTAGTCTTAGTGAGGATGGAGTCTTAGCTAGATTGTAAATTAGTATGAATTGCCATTTCATGCAAAAGAGGGAGGGGGCTTGAATTCACTTATAACCATCTCTGGGCAAAAAGCGGTCACCCTGCAAAGTCTGGTAAAGCTTGCCCTAAGCACCTCTTTTTATAGATACAGTATTAGATAATAGACAATAACAGAAATTGGCCTAAGACAGCTTATACAGTATATCAATCCTAGGATTACTCAAGATTCTTTAGTTATTTTCCCATTTTAATCATACCAATTAGGCTAATCTAATACTCGTTTTTCAGTCCATTTTTATACGGTTTACCAAATCGTTGCTATAAATACTATCATTACTGGAGAACGGGCTCCCAATTTCAAACAACAGTACATTAAATTACTCACTTATTTAAATTTCTACTTCAGCTTTTTCAAATTAAAGGTACAGCAAACAAATCTGCTTAATATTCACATGGTACAGAAATACTAAAATTAACTCACCGCTTTGGGAGTCTCCTCATCGTTTATACGTCGTCCATCAAAGAGAAAGCGGAGTGATGCTACCGGAACTCCAACACGTTCACTGTAAGACTTCTTTAGTTTGCCCATTTGAGTAGTCATTTTCACCCGAAAGTGGATTTCATTGGAATCCTGTTGAAGGGTATAAGGCATTATAATAATTGAATTGAAATTGAAATTGAAATAAGTTTATTGAGGTAAAATACACACAAAGGGATGAGGTAGCTCAAGCTATTCTCACCCCGTTCAGTACTACGTGTTAATACATACATAGACACACATCACAAACAATAAACATATTTATTGTATTACAACTATACTGTACATTTAGAGTAGAGCACAACAAATCCCTCATTCAAAGACTGATAATGGGGATCAATAAAACATACAGGCAATCCTTTTTTTTAAGTATCTTATGAAATCATTTTAAGTTACAATACCATATATAATTAAAAAATACTTAAAAGGATGGAGTATAATACCATAGCAGACAACCAGGAAATCATACATATTGATTATTTGATATAAATGCTTATTTTACAAGTGTCTGGAGAATAGCACTTTTTCTTATATAGTAGCCAGAAGTTAATAAGCATAATAAAGTGTCTGGTCCTGATCCTTGAACATCTGTTTTCTGCCAAACTATATTACCAAGATCAAATCAAATTTGGTCAATGGTTCCATTTTTAGTTTAAAGATGGCTCTGGCAATCATGTCATTTTTCTTTTTAATTACAAATTAGTCCAGTGACACTTCCAGGCAACATTCTTTGAAGCAGCGACCACATCTGGCACATGACTTTCCTGGTATGCTTCTGGTAAACCTGGTATGCAGGTACTGTATATAGGTATACTCAGACCAGGTTTCTGTACTCAAGGTACTGCTTATAGTGCATTTTGACCTGAATATGATGCAGAAGCACAAGATAAAAGTGTGTCAACAAGAATGAGAGAGATAGGAAGAGCATGGCAGTGTTGACTTGCCCCTTTCAAAGGAATTGCCTATTCTACCACAGAGATATGACACACAAGGCAGCACCTAATACCTTATCTACCTTATCTGATGAAAATAGCTCATTCCTCCAGTTTAATAAGCCCAATGCTAGAGGTGTTGCTAGATCCCAATGCAAGGCAACCATTGGTAGCAGGTGTGGCAATGAAGGCAGTGAAGCACCACTACCCAACAATAACATTTGTAAGGTATCAGGTGTGTTGGGCATAGTTGTTCCTGATCCTCCTCCAACAGATGCCTGATGAACTAGGCTGTGATTCCCCAAGAAAGACTGTGCGGCTACATACAAGAGCTTGATTGATTACATCATTAACCAGGTCTGGTGTCACCCCACATGAACACTGAAAGTGTAACAAATTTATTGAGGAATAAAAACACACACAAAGGGATGAGGTAGCTCAAGCTATTCTCACCCCTGTTCAGTACAATGTGTTTACAGTATTTATATTTACTTATATATATTCTCAAGTCGATTCACAATCGACTTGAGACTGGTCCAGGACGGACCAAAACGTCGTCGCACCTTCATTTTCTAGTGTGTGGTTTGGACAAAATAAATATTATTATATATATATATATATATATATATATATATATATATATATATATATATATATATATATATATATATATATATATATATATATATATAATATATAATATAATAGGGGTTATCTTGAGATGATTTCGGGGCTTTAGTGTCCCCGCGGCCCGGTCCTCGACCAGGCCTCCACCCCCAGGAAGCAGCCCGTGACAGCTGACTAACACCCAGGTACCTATTTTACTGCTAGGTAACAGGGGCATAGGGTGAAAGAAACTCTGCCCATTGTTTCTCGCCGGCGCCTGGGATCGAACCCAGGACCACAGGATCACAAGTCCAGCGTGCTGTCCGCTCGGCCGACCGGGGTACCACCACTGGTGCAATTGTAGGGACCCACAGCCTCCAAGAAGAAAATAAAGAGTAGAGAAGAAGAGAAGACGTCGATTCTCACTGAACACTTTAATCTTTTCTTCTCCTACCACCCCCATTATTTTTATATATATATATATTTATATATATATTTATATATATATGCAACAATGATCACAAAAACACTGATCCAAGTATGCAGAATAACCACATATGAAAAATAGAAAATGCTTAACGCGTTTTCGGCTAATTCGCCTTCATCAGAGCAAAGTAGAATGAGGATAAGATTGCTGATCAGACCTTTATATCCGCCTGGGCAGATCACCTGACCACCAAAAATAAGTGGAGGAAAGGAATTATAAGAAAGAAGGTAATTGCAGAAGGCCACTTGGCCCATACAAGGCAGCTCCTATTAATATCTCCAAGTGCCATACGTGTTTAAATGATTGCTATATTGTACTGATGAAGGCGAATTAGCCGAAAACGCGTTAAGCATTTTCTATTTTTCATATGTGGTTATTCTGCATTTATATATATATATTAGTATATTTTGGTAGCAGTCTTTATTATAAACATATGTTGTTGAATATGACCGAAAGGGCAAGATTAATGATTCCAACACGAAGCTTCTCAATATTTCTTATGTTTTTCTTCACTGTTAAGGGAAGTTGAAAAATGAACTCTTCAAAGTTCATCTTCACACTTTATTATGGTCTGATGCCTAGGGATGCATTTCGTAAGGTACTCTGGCCTTTATGAAAGGCCACTCGGGACGCTAAGACCCGAAACCATCTCAAGGTAACCCAAGATAACAATCACAATCAACATATTACTGAAATTCTGGTTGATAAACATGTACATTTCTTCCTTTACTCATGCAGTATGATACCAGATATACACACATACTTTTATGACTAGGTCCATATACATTCAGACAATTGAACCAAAGGATACAATCTTAGTGCAAAATTCTTATCTCTCTCTCTCTCTCCAGAATATCACCAATCTTTCCATTGTGACACATCAAAAAGATTGATGATATAGTCAATATGACTATACAATCATACTGGCTTCGCACATTCACCTCATAATTACCTACCTCCCTACTACCCGATTTAATCTGACTTCTTGTGTTGGTAGGTATCTATAAAAGTCTTGGGCCTTTGATATTAATCAAGTTCTCTTTCAGCATGCCTATTGCATTTCTACTTTTATAATCATTTTATAATATTTTTTGGATTATAATCATAAATTTGGCATCCAAATATTTATAAAATGTCAACAAAGGCCCAAGACTTCAACACACTCCCTCTACCAGCCCGTCCTCCAAACAAAGATCCAAAAGTGTTTCCGTGCACCCGCAAAACCCCCGTTTATGAATGAAAAATGGTTTACACATGACTCAATTGATTTCGTTTGAACACTTCCGGAACAAGTGCTTCACTGACGAATTTTGTTCGAACCACAATGCTGTAAATGCTTCACCCACGTACTACAAATACAAATAATTGCCAACAGAACCTAAGCACCTAACCTAACCTATATATGCACAATATGCTATTATATTAATTTATATTTGAGAAAATTCCTGTTTTGAATGAACAGCGTGTTAAAATTTATGAATGAGTCTGTGGGGTCGACCTCTGGATGTAATGGATTTGAGTCGAGGATGGGTTGCCTCTACACATACAGGGCATAACTGGCCGAACTCTCACAGTGTTCAAAAAAGAACCTGATAACGCCTTCAGAGGATCACCTAGGCTGTGACTCCTACATCAGACTATGAGCAGCCTCATCAGACAACCTAGTTGGCCAAACCATCCACAAGGAGGCATGGTCAGAGACCTGGTCACGGGGATGTTGATCCTCGGATTCATTAACAGGTATGTGTCTGCAGTAGTAGCTATGTTCTCAAATCACAATCAAGGTTTCCAGATTCAACCTCTAGGAGGGATATAGATGCATACATCATGGCCTTGTGTGGAAAGTTATGTCTTCTGATATCTAATGACTAGTAGGCTAGAGGAAAGTGTTGGGCCATAAGGTTAATGAAAAAATGAGAATTCATTGTGAGGCAATGTATAGTTCGCATACTAAAATTACGAATTGTAGGTAAGGCAGCAAGGTCCCTTTTATTAAAACCCGCTTGATCAGGTTTTGGTGGTAAATTACACTAGGGGGTCAGAAATCACAAGAGAACCGTAGAGTCTTAAAAACCTGAACAATGCAGCATGTCATTTACTGTTGACCAAGCTTAGGGTTTTGCTAAAATTAGTACATTATAAAACTCCTTGAGTAAGCACATCAAAGGTTTAGGTGTAAATAATAATGATTTTCAGAGGTTTAATGTTCAGAGCCGCAGGCACATCAGCAATGTGAGATGTATCACTGCAGAATATGTCTAACACAACATTTTTGAGTGTTGTAGTGTCCTGGATGAGCAAACACAATGTAGAGTAGACGTCAATACAGCAAGAATGCTGGCCCATGTGAAGCAGACCACTTTACACCTAAAGGCTACCAGTTGTGTATCTTTATAAATGCATTTACTTCAATGATGTTATGCACATCATTTGGAGAATGAATCATATCCATGAATAAATAAGCACTGTACTGTAAATATGAAATCTATAAATAAGGCTTCCTTCGTGAGAAAAGAAAAGCACTACTATAATACAAATATCTTTTATTCAATGCCAAATAAATTAAGTTATTTTAGCCTGTTGCATTTGATACAAAAAATCAGTGCCCCAATCTCTAAAGAACACGGCACCCTTTGATCTGTAAACGTAGGTTAGAAAATAAGTTTCCTACATCTCAGTAGTACAGTTTGGTTAACACTTTGCCTGGCCTGGTGGGCCACATGCAGCACACCGGAAGGTAGGCCGGGTATTGTCAGTGAGCACACAACCTGATGTTAAACTCTTTCATCACAATGTTTATACTTAAGAATATGCAAAAATTAATTGATGACGGCGCTAACGTCATGACCCAAACTGCGTATTTTTTTTCTATTTATATAGACAACAGTTCTTACATTCTTGCACAGCCACTAGTACACATAGTTTCGGACAAGTCCTTAATCCTATGTTCCCTGGAATATGACCCCGAGAAAATCGTCTAACAACCAGGTGCCCATTTTACTGCCGAGTTAAACAGTCTACAGTTAAGGATTTGCGTCCATTAAATCCTCCCGGCCAGGATACGAACCAGGGGCAAAGCGCTTGCAAAATGCCAGGCGAGCGTCTTAACCACTACACCACGGAGACGGACATATTGTTGTGTATTATTTTAATGTCTGCGTGAATGTCATTGCCAGTGTCAATTCTCAACCGACAATAGTTTGGTTAAGTCATTAACCACAATAGTTAATAGTCATCCCGGGTTTGGATATTGTGGAGGAGAGAGAAATGGTTGGGCATGTTTCCTATCACCTAATGCTGCTATTCATCTAGCAGTAAATAGTACCCATGAGTTAAGTCAAAATAATGTGGTGTTGCATATGGGGGGGGGGGGGGTTCAGTACTGTACCTTCAGGGATTCAAGTCTAAAGTATATATATACATATATGCGTGCTAACTGTCCCCAACAAAATGAATATTTTTTTATATATTCATTTAACTCATAAAATTAGCCAATACCCATGTGAATCATGAAACATAACTGAAGATGTAAAATTTGACTATTCTAAGAGTTTTCCCCACTCAAAATAATTCAAACCAATGTAACACAATCTACCTCAACCTATCCTAACATTAATTGAAAGCATGAGAACCAAAGGAAAATTCAGTTTAATAATTGGAGGTAGGCCTCCTAATATTTGTCACGCCTCGGTAGTCGTGTACAGTATTCATAAACCAATGCATAACAGTAAAAATTTACCTACAAAATAGAAAGTGGTAAAATTGGCTATAAATTCTATATCAATATAGCTTGTGTTAGGTTTAGTCCACAGTATCACACCATTAAAAAAAAAACTACAATTCGCTAACAATATTAAATACCAGTTAAACGTGACAAAAATTAGTGGCCAAATATTCAGAAGGCATCAAAATTATATCACGCTAAGTACAAACTATATATATTTATATATAAAAAAAATCCTTGTATTTGTTAGGATATGTTTGTTTAAGAACAATAAGTAGCAAAGATGAAGAGAAGAAAAATGCTTCTTAGACTTAGTTTCTTAGACCAGAGTGGGGGGCTAAGACCAGTCTTAAGTCTTCAGACTCCCACACTCCAAATCCAAAGTCTTAACAAATACAATTTACCAGTGATGCCAACTTGCAAAATCTATTAATAACCATATAATCATACAACCACGTAAATCCATATACAACAATTACAAAAATCGTGTAAATACTTGACAAGAGCGAGAGAGAAATATTACTACACCCCCATGCAGGGGGGCCACCTGCCCCACACATCTCTCAAACTTCCCCAAACCTTCCCAAAACTCCCCAATTTCCCCCCCTAGAGAACATCTTAAGACGAACAACTTGCACAACTTACCTGGCCTACGACTTTAAGTTTGATGTACTCGTTCCCCTCACCCTCTGGCTTGGCGTCCTGGAGGGAAGACGAATTACAAAGTCACTTATTTGCTCAAGTCAGCTATTTAACAGCCTCAACCCCTCTCTATATTAACAGTAGAGCATCCCCGCAACCTCCCCATACACCCGAGAGATGAGAAAATGGCGTACTTACAGCGTTATCGGACATTGTGCAAATTTATGGCGGGAACGCGTGGCCTTTGGTGCGACAAACAACAAGAAGCAAGAAAAGCATCCGGGGACTCGACAAAACAAAGATGGCGACCGGTCTTGGCGCCAAGTTTGAATTGGAGAATTAGTGTCCACCTCGTGGAGACTTGCCGCCTTGTATAACTAATTCCATTATCCTCGTTAATTAAAACTAAATTATTGTCGTGATATGTTTTGCATCATGTCAAGAAATATTTGTGAAGAACTAGAGAATAATAGGGAAATACGGGAATTGCCGTTTTCTATTGGGCTTTTTAATGGGGTGTGGAATAGAAAACGGAGGAAGATGGCAAGCACTTGGTTCCATGTGAATCAGTAACCAAACCCCTAAAGCATTCGGTGGCGCCTCGTATTACGCAACTCTTCTACGTATAATCTCTAAACTTGACTAAATTTCAATATATCAACGCAAAATATATCCTCCTTACTAATTCCGATTGCGTAATAGCGATTATTCCCAAGAAGATTTGAGCGGGAAACTCCCTATTGCTTTTTAGAAGACCGAGAGTACGAGTTAGTTCCTCCTATGATGAATAAACCGTATAAAGACCATTCACAAAAAAAAATTGCTTCCGTATCTCATAATTTATACATTACTTGAATTAAAAATTTTTGATACTTTCCAAACATTAATAAACCGTGAGGAATGTTTATTTGAGTCAGGGGGTTTATATATATACCTGCCAAGATAACACAAGATAACATGATAAAGTGATTATTAAAAAAAACTGTTACCATACAGGAAATATATATATATATATATATATATATATATATATATATATATATATATATATATATATATATATATATTAAATAGCAGGCTGGAGCCGGCTTCCTGATACAGTCGAGGCCACTGCAAAGAGATGGGTGGCACTCAGGTAAATTCAGGTAAAAAAAATCGGCTTCGACGAGGACAGGAAGCCAACACAGGCTTGTCCTCATGGGTCCCACCTCATTCATTTGTCCTCGTCGTACACTCTATAAAATACATCGATGAAGCTTTTAGAGTACTTTTGACTTTGCAAGACTGACGTAACACTCACACACACACACCAGTGTATGTAATTTCGCAACCCGGTGGACCTTCTTGTATATTAATACATAAGTAAATGTATAAAAATAAATATCCAAATTGCGCATCGCCTAATGTATAGTGTGTATCCATATATGTTCAGCGCTCCGTATAGTCGATGTGTATAACAAGTTCCGCAGTGCCTTATTGGTATATATATATATCCAAACTGCGCAGCGCCCCATATATTGTCTTTCCAAACTGCGCAGCGCCCATATATTGTCTTTCCAAACTGCGCAACGCCCATATATTGTCTTTCCAAACTGCGCAGCGCCCCATATATTGTCTTTCCAAACTGCGCAGCGCCCATATATTGTCTTTCCAAACTGCGCAACGCCCATATATTGTCTTTCCAAATTGCGCAGCGCCCCATATATTGTCTTTCCAAATTGCGCAGCGCCCATATATTGTCTTTCCAAACTGCGCAGCGCCCCATATATTTTCAAAACTGCGCTGCGCCCCATATATTGTCTTTCCAAACTGCGCAGCGTCCCATATATTGTCTTTCCAAACTGCGCAGCGCCCCATATATTTTCAAAACTGCGCTGCACCCCATATATTGTCTTTCCAAACTGCGCAGCGTCCCATATATTGTCTTTCCAAACTGCGCAGCGCCCATATATTGTCTTTCCAAACTGCGCAGCGCCCATATATTGTCTTTCCAAACTGCGCAGTGCCCATATATTGTCTTTCCAAACTGCGCCCCATACATTGTCTTTCCAAACTGCGCAGCGCCCCAGATATTGTCTTTCCAAACAGTTGAGAAGAACTACAAAATCGTAATTTTTTGCGCCGTTTTGGAGAGTAAACAAAGTACGAGAAGGTGCAGCCCCGCTGAAGGAGTTCCAAAAACGCGAGCCCATATTGATAAACAAACATTTAAGTTCAATTATTACGTCTTTCCTTGTAATAAAAATTTAAGTTATAAATAATGTAATTACTCTATATTTTAATTGCAAATACAAATGGAAATAATTTAGGAGCCTCCTAGGGAGATTAATGATGTGCGGCGTTTGGAAGACTGGACCACGTTGAGAAAAAGTGGAGGCCTCGAGTACCGTGGGATTTACCATAGGCCTAATACTCCCTAGTGGCCTCGACGGAGACAGGAAGCCGGCGGCTTGTCGAAGGTACTTCCATTGTTCCTGAGGAATTTTTATATCGGGTTTTGAACTGAAGTAAGTTGTTGACAATAATAATAATAATTTATTCCAAAGAATAAAGAATAAAAACAAGAATAAATTCTTTCTTCACAATAATTTTTTTTTTTTTTTTTTTTTTTGAGATATATACAAGAGTTGTTACATTTTTGTACAGCCACTAGTACGCGTAGCGTTTCGGGCAGGTCCCTGGAATACGATCCCCTGCCGCGAAGAATCGTTTTTTCATCCAAGTACACATTTTACTGTTGCGTTAAACAGAGGCTACAGTTAAGGAATTGCGCCCAGTAAATCCTCCCCGGCCAGGATACGAACCCATGACATAGCGCTCGCGGAACGCCAGGCGAGTGTCTTACCACTACACCACGGAGACTGTACAAAGTCTCTGTAATAAAGTATGAGCCAATGGGTTGGCGAGATTACATAAGAATGACATTTGTACATTCTTGTAAAAATATTATATTTTTCAGCGTAAACGTATATTTTGCCATGTTCTGCATTCAGCACCAACATTATAAGAGATTTTATTTTTATTTATAGGAGATTTATTTTTATTTTATAATGAGTAAATATACACTGGCAATACCACTAGTAACAGTAGCAATAAAAATAATTGAAGTTTTAATTAAAATTAAAGTCTATATTCATTAATGCATGACATAAATATTTATTAAAATATCAAGACAATTTAATTCATCAAATGGCTGCGCATTTCTAATTATATTAGTTTACCAAAAACTAAACTACATTTTTCATTTATTAAAGAAAATGGAAATATTAAAAGTCTAACTCTGATATACACACAGAAATCGCAATAGCGTAATGCATCAAATTAACAAATTCACAAGAACAATGATGAGGGTTCGAACCTACGTGCGGGATGATCCCAGACACAGAGCATCCCAGATGCCAGACCCAAATTATTTTCCATGTCGTGGCGCAGTCGACTTAGGCTCGTGTGGGATAATCCCGGACGTTGGTTCGAATCCCCATTACGGCCCTCGTAGATTTGTTCACCTAACTATGATCTTAAATATTAAAATGAATAATCATAAACTGTATAATATAAACGACAAGGCTCAGTATACTGTTATCATGCTAAGTGGAATTGTTTGATATAATTGTTTACATTTTACGGACATTAAGTAACAAATCATAAAAGATAGTCAAAACAAATAATTTGAGGCACAAATCACTAAGATGAATACAATTTAATAATTCACTTTGTCGGGGGACAGGCAGCCAGTGTATATACATGTTTGGCTTATATCGAGGTCTACCCCTCCATTCCAAGGTCAAACTACATACCCTCCCCAGGATTCAACCCCATAACAAGCCGACTAACTTTTGAGTACCTATTTACTGCTAGGTGAACAGATGCATTAGGTGAGAGGAAACACGCCCAACCATTTCCTTCCCGCCCAGGATTCGAACTCGAAATTCTCGTTTGTGAGTCGAGAACGAACCCGACAGAACAAACTAATTATTCCAGGAACCACAAACTTATAGACATTTGTAGAGCCTCATAATTTTTCATCAATAGATTCATGTACAACATTATCAATACCATTTTCAGTACACAGCTTATATATTACTATATTGAACTACATGATTTCAACAACATTTAAAATGCAATTGTTATAAGCCATCTCTTTGTGACATTAATTCCTTAATAATTCTAAGTATCCAACTCGAGGTATTCCTTCTGACTGGCTGTTTTATCCTCTCCAGTAGATCTTCTACACAATTATATGTCACCGAATTTATAATACCTCACCATCAAGCTGGACGGTTTGGCGGTTAATGGTTCAAAGAAAACGTAATTGTTTTACTAGAGGAACTACACTAGATATATTAACGTAACCCCGGAACAAATGAAGTGTTAGGCAATAATGATACTGTTAGTTGAAACTGCCTACCAGATTCTGGAGGTGGAGGGAGTACCATCTCTAACTGGAAGAAAGGGACCCTTAGCCTCGGAGGAAAGCACACATAGTGCATTAGAAGGGATGTTTAGGTCCCCTCCAATACAGTTTCTATGTTCTTTCCACTACCTTTCCCATATGATAAGTATGGAGTACATAATAAATGAACTAAACTAACTATAACTTGTTTAGCTAATAAACTCATGACGTGTCATATTGCACGATAAAGAGTCACACTACCAGCTAATGCACTTTAATGAACTAGATTTAGGACATACTCTCCAACACTATATCTGTGATTGCCCTGTTAGTTTAGTTCATTTATTATGCACCCCATACCCATCTTGTGGGCGGTAGTGGAAAGGGTTACAGAGGCACATAATGGGCTCAGGGGACTGAACCCCACAACTCATTTAGCTAAGCAAGTTACAATCTTGATGAGCTAGTTACAAAATTCAATATAAGTCGTCACATCAACAATGGGTTCGAGATCGACCTCAATTACAGGTTCTAAATTAAGCAACTGACATATGTGGAGAGCTAGTGTCACAATTTATGCGTTTGTCCTGCACACCGCCCCCCATCCAGTGGGCAGCGGTGGATAGGTTACAATCACTTAGTTACTACCTACAGTTAGCAAACTGGGGATATTTGGCTAAAATTTCTGGTAGCAGATCATTTTGAATGAAATATTTACACATCGCTGGAACATTGGTTATAGAATTGTCTCTAAATTCACGTATCTTTTCGCGCTCTGTAATTACTTCATATACTCAGGAATATTGGAAGATATTCTTGTGCTGTACCAAGATTTTGCTAGTGGGGGCTAATAGACCAGTCTTACATTTTATGTTCTCATCTGATTTTTTAGTCAGAGTTAATTTGTTTTTGTATTGAGGTTGGTGTTTTAATTCTCCCCTGATTCCATGTATGACTAACCATCCTGCGAGGTGGGAATATTGGAGGAACTTATAGATAGTTTTTTGTTTATCTACACTGTATAATCTTTCATATAGAATAAGGTAGCAGCACATTGCTATGTATACCTAAGTTTATTAATAAGGAAATAAAACTTTCAATCACAAACTTTTTACCTAAGATTTGTGACTTGCAAGATTTTTGGACATTTGCAATGAGGATATCATGAGGATATCCTCATGAACGTATAGCTAGTGTTTGATCTACACTGTGTAATCTTTCATGTGGAATAGGGTAGCAGCACATTGTTATGTATACCTAAGCTTTTTAATAAAAAAAACATCATTCACCTAACGTTTGATAGTGCTGGCTAATTGTCATGTATACATGCCCTCTGTATGACAATTAGCTGTGTTTGCTAAACTCACTTAGCTAATGACAATGCTATTAAATGCAATATTAATTCGTGCTAAACTCTAGTTAATTTGTAGTGTAGGAAATGAATGCAATAGGTGCTGAAGGTGCCTTGATCACCTCAGCATCTCCCACCTGGCAACTCACCCACCAGCTGCCAAACGTTGCCATATCGTGACCTTCCCTTACCAATATTGTACTTCGTTTTCGTACGATTGTATTACAGTGCCAAACACAAGTGCACATTTTAGTTATCCAAAAAATTATCCCGGTATCCTAGAAAACAATATGATTACTTTCGTGCTTTGAATAAAGGAGGTACAAATATGATAACATAGTTTGACAACGGTATTTGCGAGTTAGGAGTTTGTCTTTTTTTTTGGTTTCTGGTGTATGTCCTTCAGACAGTTAGTTATCTTGACAGGTAAATGTGAGTTATCAGCTGTAGAGGAACTCAAGTGAGCGACACACCACATAAATACAGACGTGACACAGGAGAGGGAGTGAGGTGTGATAAAAGGTATATGCCATGAGGCCAGCGGCAACACAGGCGGCCGCTGGGGGAACAGAGGCGGGTGGCCCAGCATGGTGAACCAGTCGCGCTTGGCATTTTGTACCGTTCACGTCTCCTCTACTTCCTCCCACCACACAAAACTCTCTCAAGAAATTACATTTTTTGGTTACAGAAGGAAAGGGGGCGTTTTCGTCCTAGCATCCCACATTCCGCGGCTTGCATTTAAGCGCGTAAGTATGCGAGGTTACTATACCATTTTACTGTTGCGGGCTCTCCAAAGGTACTTTAAGGTATTATCATGCCCCCCTAAAGTTAATCATCAAAGTAACTACGGGGGGCATGCATAACCTGTATCACATCCTGTATCACATCCACATAATCAAAATGAGAATGAAGGTATGTGGCTTAATAATTTGGCTACACCGTTACTCTCTCATTTGAAAGCAAAAATATTTTCTATAAGAAACTGGTTTTACGCCAGGTGTTGTGATCCAGAAACGCTCCGTCATCAACGCGTGGTCGAGGCAGAGGTTTCAGCTCTTGGTCTCCAGTATATATATATATTCATCATTCATCCAGATATTCGTAGTTTAGGGAGGCGCGATAGATATTCCCACGTGTTGGGACCTCTTGTCAGTCTTCGGGAATCTGGATAAAGATAGTGATCCTATTACAGCTTTATAACAGTCAATAGCTATATCTAATTTTTAGAGATGACTTAAAAATGAAGTACATTTGTGTAAAGCTGGTATATGGCTAGTACACACATAGTAAAATACGAATATTGTGGGACCCTATACCCAGTTAAATAGGGGATGGCATAAACGTTAGTCATATAATTGATTCAGGAATTGGCCCTCAAAGTTATTTAAGGTAAGCAATTGTGCATTTGTGGTTGATTGTTGGGACAATCCATTGTAGTTACACATTTGTATTTGCCTCAAATCTGTGGTAAAATTACAAGTAATAATAAAATTATAGTACTGTACTTATATGTTACAGAATAGCTATTCCTGTATACTGAAGAATGTATTTTCATCCTAAATAACGGGTTCTACTTTATTCGAATAACACGTATACTGTATAACAGGTCTACATGTATACTTGCCAGACATTTTAGTTAATAAGGACTTCGGTTAACATGTTTAAATTCCCCAGGAAATTAAAGAACATTAATTGTTGTCCAATTCCTGAACCAATTACGTGATTCGGTGACATTTCCACCCACACGATGGGTATGGGGTCCACAATAATCCAATTAATCCTATTCTATGCTTGAGGATATAGTATTACATTATTCTTACCTTGAGTTAGTCTAGTACACTTATTATTCACCCTATACCTATCTTGTGGGCAGTAGTGAAAAGGGTTACAGAGGCACATAATAGGCTCAGGCTCAGGGACTGAACCCCACAACTCATTTAGCTAAGCACGTTAAAATCTTGATATTTCTTGATAAATTATATACTGTATGTTAATATGCGGCTGTCAGTCAGTGTTAAATAATAACTCAGAAGCTGGACAATATGTTTTAATTATACAAAAACTGATTGTCGAAAAGCCTGTTGTAAAAACATGATAAACATATATGGTGCTTGGCTATTTTTTTCTCGTGGTATGGTATTTAGATCCTTTCTTCCTGAAAACGATTTTGAGTTTCAACTTTCTCTTCAGCTTAAATGAATTTGGTATTTTGACCATATTTCTGGCACCCATTATTTTGATCTGTTTATGCTGTCTTTTTCACCATGTGTGTGTGTGTGTGTGTGTGTGTGTGTGTGTGTGTGTGTGTGTGTGTGTGTGTGTGTGTGTGTGTGTGTGTGTGTGTGTGTGTGTGTGTGTAAATCACGAAAATTTGCTCGTGATGAAAAATGTGACAGTGTCAGACCACGGAGGAAGAATTGAAACAAGAATTTCCTTAAGTACTTGCATTCCTTCTGAAGTGTATTAATAAACAAAAGTACTTATGGAAATTCCTGTTTAAATTCTTCCTCCGTGGTCTGAGACTGTCTCATATATATATATATATATATATATATATATATATATATATATATATATATATATATATATATATATACTTGAGTAATATTAAATCAAGGTAGGATTTACATTGATTCAATGTTACATTAAGATCGTTTTCCTAGATTGGCAATGGGGAGGGGGGGGGAGGGTAAGACTGAAGCGGCGTAGATTGATAAAGATTAAGCCACTTAAGAGGTGGCACGGGCATGAATAGCCCGTAAGAAGCGGCGTAGTTACTGCGTTGTGGTCCCGACCTACATCATGGTAGCTTCCGTTTAAAACCTTCCCGCCGCCGCCCGCTGAATAGGCTGTAATTTGCAGGATAGACAAATGTAACTAGTAACTATGTAAATGAACTAGTAACTGTATGTTACTAGTTCACCACGTAGAGGAATTCTTTATTTTAAGAACAACGAGGTCCGGTACCTGACTCCATTACGTAATTATATAACTTTTCCACATAATGAACATGATGCCCATTAAATAAAAAATTATGAAAAAAAGGAGGGAAGTGTCGAAAATAAATGTATATCCAAATGCTTTCCTCCTATATATATACAGTATACATGGAAAGCAAAATATATGTAGGATATTATTTGTCTATTATTAACGTATAGAAAGTAATAAGGTATGTCAACAAATGTTTTGGCCTGTCATATGAATAGCAAAGGGGAGCAGTTCATATGCATTATATGTAATAAATAATGAAGTGTATCGCTTGGCTTCCGTTTACGAAGCCCTGGATGCTGACAGCCTTTGTGAACCCTTGTTGGGGTAATGTTGCCCGAACTCCTCATGTTGTCTAAAGCTACAAGATAACGCAAAGTTAACTTTGATCTGTTTGTAATGAATGTGAGAAATGTGTAGGTTCGTTTATATTAATGTTTGTAGATATGCAAGAAAACTGTATTCTTAAATGAGGAGTTAGGATAGGGAAGTACATACTCAAATATTCCCACTGGGCATTTGGTTGAAAGCGACCGACGTTACATACTATTTACTATGTAACGTCGGTCGCTTTCAACGACCGACGTCCTCTTGGTTGAACCCAACTCCTGGGATTAAGTATCAGGTACTCAGTATACATGACCATGACGGTACAAAATGGTGGAACGAGTTTACTTATGTGATCAACGTGCCGACCTCTAGTTCACAAGCCCCGCCTATTTCATCTGTTGGACTTTCTATGCGGGTTTCTTCTCGCAATATTGTTGATTTGAAGGGCGACAACGATCGAAGGATTAGATGCGTCCAGCGTATTCTTGTTGAATATGCATCTGTATTAAAGGTCATTTGTATCATTGTCATTCGTAAAATATCTCAAATATATATATATACTGTATTCTCGTCAGATCAGTAACAACATTTGTGAAAGCTGTTGTAGCAACACATGTCGGGTGGTAATTGTTTATGTAGAATAATGTGGACTACATTCCCTCCCACACAATACTACAATGAAGCGCTTAGAATGGTCCTGCCATTGTTGTGCAAGTGGTGCGGGGCGCTAGGAACAGGAAGGTGGTGTATGGAATGTAACATAGAGAAGGAGAGAAATGTGTTGGCACCTAAATGCGCTTACTGGGTCGAGCGCTACGTTTGTAGAATTTAGACTTCTTGATAGTAGGTGCAGTTTGCATGAAGGGTTTGTCCTCCCGATGACTGCACGTTTAAACTTCAGTTCCCTGGTCTGTATTTCAGCCTTCGACCGACTAACGTTGTTGAGCTTTGAGTTCGGTATCTACTTTTGAAGCCATACGGATCCAGTCTACTACTTCTTTAACTAGCTCGTTGCACAGCTTCACCGCTTTTTAATATTGACACGGGCTCCCCCACACGTACAGCTTCCATCTATGTTTCCTGGTCCAGGTTCTTCCAGTTAGTTTGTCATTGTCAACAATTTCGTCAGTACATCGGAGAATTTTGTTGAATTGTAACTGGTGCAGTCTTTCCTCGTTGTTCCTACTACGTGGCTTCTTTGCTAACCTGGTGCCCACATTTTAGTAGTAGGTAGAGGTAGTATGTAGCAAGACCTCACTTCCTCGTAGAGACTGATATCTTCCCTAACCCGCCATTAAGTTCCAAAACTTTGCTGGGTTTTAAAATACAGCTGGAAAAGATCATCGGGGGATCATTGACAAGCCACTGGCTTCCTATCCTCAGGTAAATTCAGGTAAATATGTTGTATAAAATGGGATTGCATGAGTCAGTACTGGCTCAGGCTACCTGGCGGGGATGTTACGCTCTACACGCTCACTTGTGTGCTAAGATGGTTCTCATGTTACACTATTTCCTTCTCTTGCTCTTATCTTTATCTCTCACAGAAGGTACAGGCCTTGGAAAAGCAAAGAAGCGGCAGAGATATTGGGAGCAGGATCAAACACACGGTGAGGCAGGGTGGCTGTGACAGCTGCTTCTCAGCACCTGTTTTTGATTGGGTGTTGCTGTGTGTTAGTGGGATAGTTGCTGGCATCAGGTGCTTTGCAAACAGCCCTCACTGGTTAACCCTTATCACTGGTCGTTTGGTGGTCTCTGTTGAAGTTTAATACTCTTAACCACAACCATGTATATGTGTGTATCACGAGGAATAATGGTAATACTTATGACCACAAAAGATAATTCAACAATAAATTACTTGAGCGCTTTCGTGTATGTTGTAATACATCTTTAAAAGTGCACGAATGAGGTTTAAATTATAAGAGTAATGATAAAAAATGACAGCGCTAAGAGCATTTGAATGTTCCTCGGATAAGACGCCAACATAACGAGATAATGGAGCCGTTACTGCTGGTATAGAGTATAAGGCAGTGCTTCATATTTTTCATATTAAATTTACGTCGCAGCCTAATTTAACTTCCGTGTAACGTTGAAGGAACGTATATATATATATATATATATATATATATATATATATATATATATATATATATATATATATATATATATATATATATATATATATATATATATATATATATATATATACAGTGGATACACTAGGAGGGGTACCCAGCTGTGCCAGGGTCTTTCTTCCCTTTTCCCCACTCTCTCCCAATCATTCCCTCTCTCTCTCATCTCTTTCCTACCCATCTTCCTTACGTTTTACCACCCCTCTCTACTCTTCACCACTTTCCCTTCATCCCTCTGACCATGTTCACTAAATACTGTCTAAATACAAAATTCAACTAGACTAAATGAAAATCGCACATGGGGGGTTGGTTTAAAAGCTGATATTTCTCAATTACACTACTTAGACCGAGCACAACTAGTCTATGTCCGGCCCGTACCCCAGACCACTTTCTCTGCAAAGTTTGGTGAGGATAGTCCCAAGTGTCGAGCCTCCAGCTTTGGACCCGTCAGATATTCTCTTATAGATCAATTGCCGGAAATGCTTGTAAAACGTGACTTGGATGTAGCACAAGCAAAAACACTACAGTATTAGGATAAGTAAACACACCGGAAGAGCAGGTCATGTTCAACAGTGTGCACTACTTCATATCTTGTTTGTGGTCGTTGGCCAGCTGCAGGATCCATGTATCTATCCTCAGCCCTCTCACCGCCATATGGTGAGGACATTAAAAGTAAATGCAAGCTTTGCCATGCCTTTGTTTCAAACGGGCGGGAAACTTGAACCAAAGGAATTTGGGCTTTAGTATCTGAGAGTTGATGCTTTTATTATCAGAGATTAAACTTTTATTATCAGAGATGAAGCTTTTATTTTCAGTGATGAAGCTTTTATTGTCAGTGATGAAGCTTTTCTAATCTAGTTAAAACAAGAATCTTTGATTGTTTAGTGGGTTGAAGAGTAATCCTTTGGGTTGCCTTGCAGTATTTATATATCCTCTTCTGATCTTTTAGGTGCAGTGTTGTTTTTGTGTAGTGGTGATGCATGATGACCTTGCAACCCTTGCACGCGTACCTGCACCAGCCTATCGTGTCTTGCAACGCAGGTGATGTTCCTCTTTTGTCAAGGCCTCCACTTGTGACCAAATTCTGGGTTGCAAGCTTCAAAGAAAGACTATATCAAATGAATTTTGTTACTTTTTGCTGGGACTGGGTTTAGTTTGAAGCAGGTTAGTTTAAGTTAGGTAAAGATATATTAAATATATTAAAAGTTAACAATATTTTATATTAATGTTCTGGGCTAGGCTGCCATATTAGGTTGTAGAGACCATTAACTGGATTAGGCGTATCAAAAGATAGATTCTTCGCGATTGTATGTGTTATTGTAAGACAATTTAGAATACTAATAACAAGAAAGGAATATAATGTATTGTACTGTAACAGTTTTTCCTTGGATGCATCCGGACTTTAAATGGTTTTCGTGGCAAATTGAATCGCTTACTGGAATGCAGAAGTTACACAGCTGTATAAATTTATGATGCGTCGAAAGTACACTCAGGATAGTAATGGGAGATTGGTTGCTAGAGCATTGTAAATGATAATTACCAGCAATAGCTGGAGGTGTGTATAGTACTTTTAATGTCACTGATGTCATATAATGGGTGACAATAGAGGCAGAAAGTGTGTTGTAATTGTAAGTATTTCCTGTTGCTAGTTATAGTTTACCATGCCAATTTAATTGTTTGGTTTGCCTTTCGTGGGAAGGCTGTTACGGGAGAGAGAGAGAGAGAGAGAGAGAGAGAGAGAGAGAGAGAGAGAGAGAGAGAGAGAGAGAGAGAGAGAGAGAGAGAGAGAGAGAGCGGAAGTTACAAGATGCATAGAGTCTGGTTAATTAAACAATTTTCAGTTCTTAAACGTCACGGTTTCCTCAGCTCTAGTGAAGGGCGGTATTGGTTAAGGGTAAAGAAGGAGGGGGTTGTTTTGTTTTATTTTGTTTTGACCTCGCTTGTCCAGTACTCTTCCTTCTCCCCTCTTACACCACGGCCGTCCTTAGGGAATACTGCAATAAAACTCCTGACTATTTCTGTGAATGCAATAACCTCAGGGAGTTTCCTTATTTGTTCCTTGTATTTGTGCACCTTGTTTGTAAGACCATCCGTGTTTGTTTACATGACTTTAATGCTCATTTCTTTATTTACATTCTATATACGCCTTAGCTCCGTTATCCCTTACTTCCCTAGTGTGGAAGGTTGATTATTGTGGGTTGCCCCGTCAACCACCCATATAGGGGGTAGACGGGGCATGGGGAAGTTATGGGTAGAGGGAGACTGGGTAAAGAATTTATGAGTGAGAGGGATGAGTAAGAGTAGGGTGGGAGTGGAGATGTGTCTGGACGAGACGGGGGAGGCCTAATACTTATAATATTTTTCTTATGTGAATAATATTTTTGGACCTATGTTTATTTAAACTAGAGTCGTTGGAAACATCGTATTACAATCATGATTAAGCCTTGTTACACACGGTTCACTGATAACTGCGGAAGATAACAACACGCACATTTCATTGATAACAGTCACTTTTAATCGTTAGGGTATGTGAGGCTACGACATATTTGGTCCTACGGGAACATTCTAAGCTTTGATACGCGCCACGTTTTCCCATCTTCTCTCAACTCTTAAACTAATGTGTTGTCGTTTTTGGCTTTCTCGCCTTCGTCTCTGTTCGTGTACCTTTCCAATCCCCCAATTTTTTTACCCATTTCAATTCTTGTTTTCATTATTTTTCAGAATCTTTCCTTCATTCCTTAATCAGTTTCCCCCTTTCGTGTCGCCATTTTTTTCCCTTATTCATTTATCAATGTATATCTTCATTTCCTCCTTCATTCTTGACTTCATTCTCGCACACATACACATTTTTTTTAATTCTTCACCATTATTCAGTGTTAATATAAGCGTCTCAGTATACATACAGCGTGACATACATAACTTTTACACACACACACACACACACACACACACACACACACACACACACACACACACACACACACACACACACACACACACACACTTTTCTTTTAGCGTGAGAGTAGTGGGGAAATGGAATGCACTTCAGGAACAGGTTGTGGAAGCAAATACTATTCATAATTTTAAAATCAGGTATGATAGGGAAATGGGACAGGAGTCATTGCTGTAAACAACCGATGCTCGAAAGGCGGGATCCAAGAGTCAATGCTCGATCCTGCAGACACAACTAGGTGAGTACACACACACACACACACACACACACACACACACACACACACACACACACACACACACACACACACACACACAGACACACACACACACACACACACTGGGTGTCGGGTGTGGGGCGGTGTAGGGTCAGTGGATCACTCTCACCACCATTGATTTTTGAAGACCTGCTCTTATGTTACGAGGTCCAGCCCAGCCCTGGTTGTCTGAAGGTGCTGACAGGTGTCTTGCGAAGTGGGCAGCTGTCTGAATGAGTTGGCAAATGTGTTAATGAGCTGACAGGTGCATGAATGAGCTCTCAGATATCAGAGGATGCTGACGTGTCTCAAGGAGTTATCTAGAGATGCTGTCCGGTTGTTCAAAGACGTCTTATCGGCATATAAGTTATCTTTGGGTTATCACTGCCCCTGCATGTCTTTAGCTGGTGTTTAAGAGTAAAGCTCTGCAAGGTGTGCTACTAGTTTCTATGTAACTCTACTCTGGCGGTCTGCAAACGATACCTAGTTTCTAGATATCAAGATATAAAGGGTCTTCTGTCCATATATATTCTAGAGCTCTTCCATGCTTTATATATGTAATGCTGGTTGGTTGAGAGGTATCAGTGTGTTTGGTGTACAGGTGACTTTAACCGCTCGACCATCACGACCGTACAAAAGATGATGGTAGCCGAGGCTATTTGCCCATCATCCCGACGGCACTCTGATGGTAATCTTGGGCATAGTTATTTTATCAAACTTAAAGAAATTCAGACGTTTTTCAAACATAAAAGTGAGTTGAATCAATGAGACCCTTCACATACATTTGAACATTACGTAGCCGTGTTGCATTTCTGAAAAGTATGTCCACTGAGAGTAGGAGGCCGAGTCCCTGGCATTACTTGCGGGAGTTGACGTAGGAGTGATGTTTGGTGGGTGAGAGTGGGGAGGGGTGTCGGCCTTTAAGGGGTGAGAGGAGAAGTCTGCTTTCAAGGGCAAGACTCCTACGCCACATCATTTAATTCACTCGAATAAAGGTTAAAACGTGTAAAAATAGACGAACTAATTTCCTGTAATTACACGCTGCTTTGCCTTTTATAATGTTTTCAAGGGGATGCGATCCTGCCTCTCCATCCCCCCAACCCCAACCCTTCCCTCTCATGACTTGGCGTAAACAAAGCTTCGTCCCTTCTTCAGATATCTTGATTTCTCCAAGTAGTTAGGTAAAGTAACTATGTGAAAGATTTTGACGAATACTACACATATAAGAAGAAAATGCATGTTACTGACATAGTTCACCGTGAGGGGCTAATGTCAGTCAGGAACTCCATCAGAATGGTCGCACGTGGGAATGGTCGCCCGTGGGAATGGTCGCCCGTAAGAATAATCGCTCCATGAAGCAACAGCGTATTTTGTGGAACATTTCAAGATTGCTTTGGGGTGGTTACCTTGTGGGAACTTTGAGGTACACTATCGTACTCTGGAGTATTGGTTGCATTTTGAGGTCCGGTTGGGCACAAAGTTTCTTATCTCTCCTTAATATAAATTAGATAGTTGTACGAGACATTTTGTATTATTGATATTGGTAAAAAAGGTTGGATTTGTTATTCAATATTTTTGTGTTTCAAAGTGTCCCCGCTTTTCTATCTTCCTCGTTTTCTTTTATGAAACATCGATGCATAATTAATCACACGTCGATAGGTCAAGGCTTTACATTATTTTGATTATCCACTTGTTTTTTGGCCTCCATTAAGCACTGGCCAATCCGTGTGATAGTTGCAGATTCACTGGGGTTTTGCCAAAGAAAACGCTGTTAACGAATGATACGAAACAAATAGGAATTTCTGCTAAGTTACCCCTCACATACATACAGAATAAATACTGGTTATCTCCAGATGATTTCGGGGCTTAGCGTCCCCGCGGCCCGGTCATCGACCAGGCCTCCTTTTTGTTACACACCCCCAGGAAGCAGCCCGTAGCAGCTGTCTAACTCCCAGGTACCTATTTACTGCTAGGTGAACAGGTACATCAGGATGAAAAAAATGCCAATTTATTTCCCCCTCCACCGGGGATCGAACCCGGAACCTCAGAACTACGAATCTGAAGCGCTATCCACTCAGCTGTCAGGCCCTTATTATAGTCAGCTGGACGGTTAGGGCATGGCCGAATTATGTTTGGGTATTTAGTGGGACCTAATGGCTGGAATTTCTGGATCTATCGCCTTCCAAAGGCTAATATCATGGATATTAGTGCTATGTAGCACTGGCATCGCTCCAGTGCTACAGCAACAGTGCTGCTGTAGCACTGTCCAATGCTCCAGTGCAGTGCTGTTACCAGAATCAGTGTGGATACGACAGAAACTCAAGTCAGGGATTCTTGCATCATGATTCTTTCTGGAACAAACTCGTGGGCCCCAACATATGACTGAGTGCACACTGTGGGGGACACCACATCATTAGAAACCGGATATACCTTCAGATAATTGAACAATTAGTGATATAATATCATACGACGTAAGTTTATATTTATGACTAAACGGTTTAATTTTCCCAGTTAATTAAGATGTAGTGTGAATACATACTACGTTATTTTGTTATCCTTTATCGAACTATTAGTAAACTATCTGTCTCGGAACTTACTGATCACATATAGCTGTGTGATCATGTAAATGAGCTTGAAGAGTCGAGCTCTAGCTCCTAAATACCACCTTTCTAGGTATTAGTTTAATATGACATTCTTCCCCAGTTTTTCTCAGATTCAAAGCTGCATCATGTATGTGCCATTCTTACATTGATCAATGTTCTTTGTGATATCTCCGGTTCATTTATGTCTGTTTCCATTTATCTCCCTCATTTTGATATTCCTCACTTTTAA